GAGCTATTCCTCAACAAATACCCCGAATATCGGGATAAAGTCGTGCTCATCCAAATTGCAACCTCGTCTGCTGAGGACCCAGAGCTGAGTGCTACCGTGGCTGATATTGTCACTCGGGTTAATTCGACCCATTCGACTCTGGCACATCAACCGCTGGTGTTTTTGAAGCAAGACATTGACTTCTCCCAATACATGGCCTTGCTCACCGTTGCTGAATGTTTAATGATTACCAGCTTGCGCGAAGGCATGAACTTGACGAGCCACGAGTGGATACTCTGCCAGGACGGCAAGATTTCCCAGAACAAGTACGGTCCTCTGATTCTTAGTGAGTTCACTGGTTCTGCTACAGTCTTTGGGCACAATGCCCTTTTGGTCAACCCTTGGCACTACAGTCACTGTGCCGATGCTATCAAACAAGCCCTGGACATGTCCCCCGAGGAGCGCGAGAACCGCTGGAAGGCTCTGTACGATATTGTCGTACATCAGAACGCTGTTGGATGGTTTGAGCACTACGTCAAGGGGTTGGAACACGCATGGAAGGAACACACAGTCCGTGACTCGACGGCAGTTCCCCGACTGTCTTTGCCCAGTGTCAAATCCAAGTATTTGAAAGCCAAAAAGCGATTGATAATTCTCGACTACGAGGGGACGTTGGCATCCTGGGGCTCACCCACCGATATCATCTTGACCACTCCCAAGAGGTCGGTCGACGTATTGAACGATCTCATTGAAGACAAGAAGAATATTGTGTACGTCATGAGCTCGAGGATGCCTGAAGAGATGGAGCGGCTCTTTAGTCCCGTTAGTGGCATTGGGATGATTGCGGAGAACGGTGCTTTTGTGCTGGACCCAGGAACTGATGAGTGGCAGGAGTTGACCAACCTCGAGCATGTTCGAAACTGGAAGAAAGGGGTGAGGAGTATTCTGCAATACTATGTCGACAGAATTGAGGGCAGCCGGGTTGAAGAGCGCCATGCGTCACTGATCTTCGACTACTCGGACGCAGAAGATAGACAAGGGGCCTTCAAACAGGCCGGCGAGTGCGCCAATCATATAAATGATGCTTGTCGTGGACAGAATGTCAATGCGATCCCGATTGAGGATGGACTCAACATTTCGGAGATGGATGTCAACAAAGGAGCAGCCGCCCAGCTGATTGGTGAGAACTTGGAAAAGCAGGGTCAGGGGAAGGACGTGCCATTTCCAGACTTCCTCATGGTAATTGGGGATTCGAGGGAGGACGAGTATGTCTTCAACTGGGCTCACCGCTTGGAAAAGGCTGGAAAGATACGAGACGTTGTCACCGTGACGCTTGGTGCAAGAAGTACTGAAGCATCAGCTACATTGACTCAAGGTGTTACTGGTAAGTTGGACCTTTACAGTCAACCCTACACGGTCACTAACATACTATCTAGGTGTATTGTCAATTCTGGAGAAACTCGCATGGTCTCAGCAGAAAGCGTGAAGTTTGGTGCTCCGATTAGACTGGATGTTGTTCGTGGTTAATGAGGCTCATTGCACGGAAGGTTGGACAAAAGTATGCAGGGTTTGCACGATGGGAACACGAGCTTATGATATGCTTAGAGCGGGTTAGCGACCCCCATAGATACCCTGTATTAGGAAGGTCAGGCAATAGAAAGACATTCGTCCTAGCGGTAGAGCGAACTCCGGACGGTGGAAATAGTGATATTCTGCGATTCCAAGGAGAAGTACCTAGGAAGCATTCAGTCGGTGCTGCCACTCCTGTGTGGGGTTTTGTGACTTGATCATCCGTAACAGAATTCGAGGTTTGTAAGCTATGGTTCTGTGCATCCGATACGGTCTCGAGCGAGTCGATAGATGGGTAAAGATAGAATGGTCCACCTCGTCCACTTGATCCAGTTCTGATCCAAACAAATTATGACATCAGCCTGGCTGCCGGACTGGGATTAGCGCTGTCTCAGCCTCGCGAGGTTGTGTCGGCTGCACATCGATGGATTTGTCATCCCCCATATTTCTCCCACTCCCTGCCATTCACTTGATCAATATTACAAGTCTGCAAAATACGGCAATCCTGAGCTTTCGAGACAAGTTCGACGCGGGATTGCAACGCCGGTGCCAGTCGATATGCTGATTAATATCATCTCATCACCCGGAGGATTCAAACTTTGACAGCCTGAAGGTCTGAGATCAAGGGCAAAGGGCGTGCGGTGTTTTCTCATTTTGAACGTCGAAACCCCCGCAAGTGTGCAGGTGTAGTTACATCCCTCGCAGCTCTCTTTCTTTCTTGTTGCTTGTTATCATTCTGGGGATGGGCCTTTATCCCATAGACACATTTGGCTTACCAAGTCAATTGACCAGTTTGTTGTGACGCCAGTAACTTTTGCTATAGCCACGAAACGGTACAGAGAGGGTTCAACTCCGTCGCTTTGAGGTCCTATGTATATAAGAGATCGCCAGACTCTCCGTGGTACGGTCTGTGTCGAACAACATCCTCATTTAGAACAGACGATATAAAGTGATTGCAATTCGCACCTACTAAGCTTTTCCTCCCGTGTCAATTAAGGAGAGAGAGAGAGACCGTCTAACTGCACGAGATTGAACTTGATATGGCTCCCACCAAATTAGGCTTCATTGGCTTGTCCGCTGATGGGTAAGTTGTCCCATAAAACAACAAGACGCTGTGTTGGAAACTGAGCGAGATGTTTCCGTCCTGCAGACAATGGGCCGCCAATTCACATCTGCCGCATATCCAGAAGAGACCAGACCTGTTCCGGATCACGGCGCTGCAGAATAGCAGCAAGGCATCGGCGGAGAAAGCCGTGCAAAAGTACAAGCTGGGCGGAGATGTCGCATGCTACGACGACCCGGAATCTCTGGCCCGCGATCCCAATGTCGACATGGTGGTCGTGTCAGTCAAGGTGCCCGAGCATTATCGACTCATCAGGCCGGCGTTGGATGCGAAGAAGGATCTCTTTGTCGAGTGGCCGCTCGCGGCGAATGTGAAAGAGGCAGAAGAGCTCACGGCCCTGGCGGCGACCCAGAAGGTCAAGAATGTAGTCGGTCTGCAGGCACGCCAGAACCCGAGCATCCGCAAGGCCAAGGAGGTGGTTGCCAGCGGCGAGCTGGGCGAGATCCTCGGCACCACCATGCTAGGCTCAGGCATGGTCCTGGGCGCAACCGAGGCCCCCGTGTACGAGTACATGGCGAAGATTGAGCACGGGGCTAATCTGATCACCATCCCTGCCGGACACGCCATGGACGCCCTCTGCTACGTCTTGGGAGAGATGACGGAACTGCAGGCCAAGTTGGCGACGCGGCGCCCGACCATGGACATTGTCGATGCCTCGGGACAGGTCCTCCGTACCGTCAACAAGACCGCGCACGACTGGATGTCGGTGACGGGGACACTCGAGCGCGGAGGGGGCGTCGCCACGATGGTCTATCAAGGCGGCCTCTCGGACACGGGCAAAGACTTTTACTGGGAAATCAACGGCACCAAGGGGACACTGGTACTCGAGGGCCCGAACGGCCACATCCAAATGTTCCATCCGACGATCAAGTTCGTCCCAGCGGGTGCCGGGCGCGCACAGCTGAAAGAGATTCCCGTCGAACCGGCCAGTGACTTTGCCTATAATGTGGGAAAGGTCTGGGATGCGGCCATGGGCGAGGGAGACGGCGGCGTCGTGACCTTCAAGGACGCATTGCTCAGGCATAAGATGATTGACGCGATCTACCGCAGCAACGAGAAGGGGACTCGGGAGTCGTACCTTTGAATGTCGAGATCCAACAACCGGTTTTGGCTCAGGGGGATCAGGACATCGGAGGATGATAGCGCGTGTAGGGGTTTGAACCATTGGTTTTCCTTGGCCAGTGTCTCATTCTCTAGAAAATGAATGCACATGTCGTCGTAGATGACCCTAATTATTCAGCTCCTGCGCCTTATTTCTCCGTGACAGGCCAGGAAATGAGGCTGATCGACGACGGGAGGTCCACTTTCCCTTTGTCACGAGTATGAGGACACCCAGACAGACAGGTATTCGGGATAGAACCTCCGTATCCGCCCGTCTCCATTGCCCACTTACCTACCTACCTGTAGTCGCTCACCGCGCAGGTTCCAACGGCCAGGGTCGCAGGCACATATATTTGCGCGACTCAGCCCCCACTTTCAGGCGGTGGGAATCATTCCCTCCAATAAATACCCGAGGACTCGGTAGATACGAGTACGCTCGAGTTCTCGACTGCCACGTGGTGGCATCAGCCCTACAGACCTGACCTGACCTGACCTGACCTGACCTTATCTGCATGGATCCCTGGTCCTGGTCCTAGGCGCTGGCCCGTTCTGGACATCTGCGCCCTGAACTGCGCCCGCCTAGGGCGCGCCCCTTGTAAGCGCTTGTGCCGGATTTGGGAAACCCCGTTGATGAACTTTGTCTTGGGCAGGTGGTTCTTCGGTCCGTCCTGATTGGAAAAGTATCTCCTCCACGGTTACACTACAATCCATGAGACCCTTTCCATCTCTTTTTGGTCTTGGGACGCCGTATCCAGATTTCGCTTTCTGCAAGTGTGTGTATGTATGTGTGCATGTATGTCGTCAGCTTTGGCATCGCATCACGGGTGACAAAAGGTCCCTTGGTTTTTGGTCATTGGGCTTCCAAGTCCGCACCGTCTCATGTACCTCATATTCAGGTGCTCGGCTGATTTGCTGTTCTTGGTGACATGGATGCTCATTCGTGACCCTGTCGCTATCAAGAATGTTACCACTGGCTGGATGCGCATCGAGCTGAGGCACTGCCACTGACTGTCACGCCCAGCCCATGAGAAGACCGTGCTTGGGAGATCCCGGGGAGAAGTGAACATGTATAAGATGTTTCAAGATCCGCGTTTGTCGTCTCGTGTCTTTCAATCACTACCCAATATACACACAGGTCTATCATCACACCTCGGAACACCCGAACATCTCACAGCAAGCCTTAGCCATCAACGAGTACATTACCCGAGACAACCCAGGGCTTCATCACCTAGTACACAATGGCATCGGCTTTCTTCGCCCGCAAATCAGTGCTCTCCATGAACACAACACCCAATACACCAGCCAGTCTTTTCCAGACATCTTCAACTTCATCTTCGACATCATCATCGTCGTCGTCATCATCATCAAAAAGATCCTCTCCCGTCACATCCAAGAACCAGTCGACCAGCTCCACGAGCAGGAATAACGCCGGCGCGCCAGGATCCGATGCAGACTCCCTGTCAAGCTCGATGAGTAACAGTTACGGATCGTTTATGCGGTCCATATATACCAGGGGTCTGTGATCTGAACGTTCGAAAGTGCTCGTCATATGGAAGTTTATGGAGGGGTTTGGGCCGAGTTTTTGGTGGGCGAGAAACTGCGAGAACCAGGCTCAGATGGAGTGAGCTGTTTGGACAAGGCTTCGCGGGAACGAGGGGAGTTGTCCTTCTAAGGGAGATCGTCACAATACAATCTTGGTTCCCACTAGTCGACTTCCCTGTTTCCGATTCTCTATGATGTTCTTTGTCCGGCATTCGTGGTTTGAGACTGATTTTTCGAGAGTCGAGCTCGGAAGTGCAGATACTCATATCGGGTCGGCTCCCCATACCAGAGAAACACGGTAATATCATCTCACGGACTTTCTCGATCTGCGAGCTACGCCAGGAAAAAGCAATCCTTGTGATAAACGCACGCACAGGTCAGCCGGCTCGTCAAGCTCGTTTAGAGTGTTGGTGGCTCTGGTACAGCAAACTCACTTCGAACAGGCCGTGATCAGTCAAAAACATATCCCCCGTGGGGATTTCAAAACTCAATGGACTCTCGTCACTCGATGTCCAGTCCCATTGTTGGTCGAGGAGGACAGAGCTCGTCAAGTTTTCATCCCTCGCAAAATTGTCCGTGACGTGGTACGCGGGTTCAGTTCCGGTTTCTGCCTCTGCTTCGATGTCAAGCCCGTCGATGACCTGGAAATATTCCTCGCGCAAATCAAGTACACTAGGGTCTCCGGGTTGTACATGAGCCTGTTTGGTATTGCTCTTGGGTGCTTCGTGAGTATCAGGAGCGCGCGATTCTTGGAGCTGTTGGACGTCATTCAGATCTGCAGAGATGCTCTTTCGAGAAGACTGGAGAGAGGCGGAGCATTGTGGCAGTTGGTCAAACGCCATGGTTGCAATATGTCGGATCTGGGTGAGGGCTTCAGAGCTCGGGCAAACCTCACTGGAGCTAGAGTGTTTCTTCAAGAAATCCGACACCAGCCTCAAAGCTGTGGCCACATGGTGTGGGTAGGGGTCAATGCTGAGGAGGCACACCATGTCGTTGCGACGTGACCCTACCGTCGAGCCAAATACGGTTTGAAGAGAGACTTTACATTGCATTCCCAGCGAGATGATATTGATGGTCTCTTGTACTGCAGCCCATTGCGAGATGCCCAAGTTCGATATCAAATCTCGCCTGTCAAAGACATTCAGGGTGTCGTACAGGATCAGTAGTCCCAGGTGATAATGAAGAGCGAGAAGGTCTTGGAGCTCGTAAATTCTCGACATACGGATTCTGCAGAAGGACAGAGAGCACTTACACCAGTTGAGCTGGGCCTCGAAGTCGAGGAACAGCAATGCTCGCTTACACGCAGCGAGCAGCGGAGCATATGTGACGTCGTATCTGTGCATGCATTGGACAACGGCAGTCTGTGCACGGACAACGAGGTGTGGCTCATGGCGGTAATTGAACGCTTCGCGGAGCGAGGCGACCGCTTTCCAGAACAACCCTTTACAACCGCTGGCCGACTGAACTATCCAGATCGCGCGTTGATTGGTCACCTCGAAGCCGTTGAGTCGCCACGACTCCGTCTTGTCGTGAAATTCTTGCGCGGTTCTTTGTAGGAGCTGCACTGTACCCTCTTGTTCGAAGCCAAGGAGGCTTGCGTGGAGAATCGACGGTAGACCAGTGGTCAAGGACGCCGAAGTATCAAAGACGAAACCAGCCCAGTGTGCGATGGTCTCCCGGAGTTCGTAGCCCTCGTCAACTGTATCAGAGAGGTCGACTGCTGGTCCCGCTATTGCTCCTGCTCCTGTGAGCGCGGGCTTGGTTGTGATAGCAGCGGACTCGGAGCGGTTGACCTGTCTACGTCTTGCCCGGACACTCTGGAGCTGCCGCATCGCAATGTCAATGCACACTTCACCAATATTCCCGTTTGCGAGCTCTTGTTCCTCGAGACCCGGTGGCATGGGAGTCATTCCAAAGATATACAGTGCCAGTATCGATCTGTAGCAACGTCTCTGCAAGATGAGGAGGATTTTAGATCGTGCGTCCTGCCAAAGCTTGCTGGCCAGGTCGTTCAGCCTCTCCACTGAAACGGTAGTACCGGCAATGAGAGGGAGCCACCGGACACTGAATGCGTGGACGGCTACGTTCAACGCCTGGTTGACCACCGTGTCTGCTTTGACACAGACATTTCCTGGGGCTGGGACTGGATGTCAGGTTTCAACTTGGCCATCATGACCTCGGCACGGGCATTTCCATTCGTCCAAGCTCACAAACAGTCTGGAAATGATTGTTCTCGAGCCCTATGGGTCCATCCATTCTCATTAACGACTTCTTTTGCCTCTCCAGAGGACGGACACAAGAGAGACGGAAGGCAGGGTCTGGACTTACATCTGGAAGACCCGGGTATGGACAGCAGCCACTGCCGAGCCATACGCCGAGTGCGGTCTCAAAGATCGAGGAGAAGATGTGCCACATGGAGGCTTCGATCGAATCCTCACGTAGGTTGAACGCGCGGGCAACTCTTGAGGACGCGGTGGATCTTGAGGATGATGTTTCTCGGCTCAGAAATCTAGTTGTCTCTCAGACTTTGGCGTAAAGTCACAAAAGGAAAAAGATGATACTAACACAGACCGTCCGCCTTTATGTGTATCCCCCTCGTGCTCGAATGGCGGATGCACTGTGTCTTCTCCGTTCTCAACGCTGTCGACAGAAAACGCCGAGCTCGCACGTCGACGCCGCTTCGTGACCTGAAGCCACTAAACGACACACTATATCAGCCTCAATTCCACCGGTCCCGTAGAGATCAGAGTCGACTCACCTTGAAAGTGCAGGGCCGCTCTTTCCGGGCGCAGTTGGTGCATCTGCGATCGCGAAGGCCGCCAACAACGGCGGCCCCTCCTCCTTCTCGCTTGTGCACAGCATCGCAACGGATCCTTGAGGCCCGGCAGCCGTCACAGCTTGAATTTTGTTTTCGCGGAGGACGTGGCGTCTTTTCCATTTTGTCTCCCGAATGCTTTGACTCTTGCTTTTTTTTTTTTTAAGGTGAGGAGTAACAGTCAAGGAAGAAGAAAGACATAGCTGCGACGAGGATCTTGTCGCCGGGTCCGGCGGAGCCGAAGCAGGAGAAGCACGGTAGCGATATGCTCGGATCTTAGGCGCGAAGGCACTGGAGGGGCTTTCTACTTGTCAACTGACCAAAGCCCAGGAGCACCTCGTGGCCCCCTTTTCCGGACAGCCTCGAGTTGGACCGAGACCCACTTATTTCTCGCGTTAGTCTTCTTTGGGAAATATCAACATCGTCATTTCTCCGGAATCAGCTTGGAAGAGTTTCTTTCTCGTGATTCTCGAGATAGATTGGCAAGCAAAGAATCTCCTAAGAAGCACTATATGCGGGGTTGAGCGGGATCAAATGTCGGACGAGATTCTGGGGGCACCATGTTCGGGGACTACGTTGCTGCGAGGTTGTCGTTAGGGACTGGTAGGTCCAGGTCGAGACGCCTCCCAGCATCTCCTCAAGATCATCACTATACTCACACGTCTGCGATGGCTCTGGGACTCGGTTCCGAAGTGAATTCCTCCGCAAGATGGTGGGTTATGATGGGGTGCCGGGCATCTATTTCCCTGTCTGCCCTCTAGCGACCACAGGGGGTAGGATACTTCTATTGTCGATCTATATACTAAGGATGCCCCCGGTCTAGGTGTCGAATGACCGAGTTGTGATACCTTCCAAGGCTACTCACAGGTGCTGTGAAAATGTCACTCACGCCACTCCCCCATCCGCGCAGGATCGTCACCGGACACGACGACCAGGGGAAAGCGATCTTCCTCGCCGACTCGCGCATCCCCTTGGAAGTGACCAAGCTGGGCGCCAGCCTCGGCGTGCTCTGGGAGACGAAGAAAGTCCCGGCCGATAATTCTGGGAAGGATGATCCCGCAACGTCGAGGACGACGGATCTCGCGAATAAGAGCGGGGTGGTGCTCCGGGTTGTGGACATTGAGCCCGGTACGACGCAGGTAGGTTCGTCCTCCAATCGCCTCCCTAGTGATGTGGGCTTGAAAGAAGCGGGAGGAAAGTGTTCATCATCAGAAAGGAACAGAGACTCTAATTGTCGTCAGGCCAAGATGCTCTTCCACAGGACCGAGTCGCTCGACTTTGGGATTCTGTTCGATGGTCAAGTCTCATGGTGAGCTTCACCTCCAGCAACATCTACTGCAATTCCTTCTCATTACACCATATTCTATCCTCCTTCTTGGCCTATTCCTCGTTGCCGTTGTGTTCATTTTCTTTTACTGATCAGGGTTGGTGTTGTCGTCGAATAGCCGCGGAGCCGGTCAAAGTGGGAGACAAGGTGCTCGGGGCGCATGGATACCACAAGGACGATGTCGCGACGGGCGGAGCTCAAGAGGTCTAGTGTGAGTAACGGAATACTATCTTTATATTCGAATTCTCGTGTATTGCCAGTATTGCGATACAGTTTCAACACTTATCCAAGACATGTATTTCTGGATCTTGTATGTATTTACAAAGAATCAATGGTCCTACTACCCTAACGGATGTCAGAGATAGCAAGAAGTCTGGACAGAACCAATCGCTACCTCTGGTCATGGATACATCCATCTAGAGGTGTGCTTAGGCAAGGCATCCGCATGCTTGGGGGAGATTGTTCTGTGTGATTTAATCTTGCGGTGAACATGACAGTGCATGTCTTCCAGTTCAACCATTTTCTTTTTCTGAAAGTCATTCTTGAGCTCAAAACCTCAATGTCTCGCTCTATCATCGGGTCTCCCATTCATTTCCGGTGCCCACTCCTCGCCAAGTTGATGTAGCCGGACCTCAACGTCGTAAAGACACCCTGCGGATCATATTTCTCGCTGACCCGCACCAGTCTCGTCAGGTTCTCCTCGCCGTAGCTGGCAAACACGTCCTGATCGCCCGCCGCGTAGTTGAGGTAGACGTACCGGTGGAACTTGTTCTGTGCTGTCGCTGTCGCCGTCACGCGCTGGGTGAATGTCCGTGCGAGGGATTCGACGAGATCGTCGTCCGAGGGGTCTGTCCATGACCAGAGCAAGGATATCACTTTTCACACATGTTTAGACACTGACTTAGATGGATGATGGACAATGGATTGGAGAGCGAGAGGTTTTCCCAGCTTAGCACCAGGGCACTCACCGAACAGAGGTCCATCTTTCCTGCTGATGCCCAACGGATTCTCGGTCTCGTCCGACGGAAGCATTCGCGGAAGGAGAGGCTGTAGTAAGATCGCGGGCACAAAGTCCTTCACAGTATCTCTGTGTGGGTTGATAATGTCCTTGTAAATCGCCATGACTTGGTTGAGGACGCCCACGTCGCTTTTGACCGCCAACGCTAGTGTTTTCGACCTTTTTTTTCCCTTGGATGTTAGCAATTGACAGGCCTCTGCCTGGACGGCATCGAAGGAGGAGATACCTCAGCCCATGGGGATTATTCGCGTTCAACTCGACAGACAAGTCCGCGATGCTGCGGACCCTGGTCGACGACGCAATCGACGGCAAGGCCTTGAACCCGTCAAACACGGGCGGATCTTCCCGCGGTTGACCATGTGACAGAACCGCCGTGGTGACGAATTTGCCCATCGGCGCGACGTAGGCCGTGATGATGAAGGCTTCGGCGTAGATATCAGCGGACGACGAAGAGGGATCTTGGTTTTTACAGAACTGGTCCAGCAGGGCGATCGTCTCCGCCTCCGAGTCTTCGAGATACTGTTTCACCCCGCCCCAGATCCGGCCCTGCTCGAACGCGGCGAACTCGAATGTCGTCACGACCCCGAAATTCGTGCCTGCGCCGCGGAGAGCCCAGAAGAGGTCGGGATGGGATTCGCGTGTGGCGGTGACGATGTTGCCGTCGGCGAGGACGACCCGCTGGCCATTCATTAGGACACCTGCACGTCTGGATGGTCCTCGTCGGCTCGAGGTCGAGACATACCTCGTAGCTCTTGACATTGTCACACGCAAGCCCAAACCGGCTGGCTGCGAAGGAGATGCCTCCTAGAATGGGGCAGTCAGAGCTGGTTTTCGTCATTTCTTGTAGTCTCGATATAGATGTCTCACCTCCAAGGGTCAAGCCACCAACGCCGACAGTCGATATACGGCCCCCAGGCACACTGACTCCCTGCGTGTCAAGTCTGCCGTAGACGTCCCCCCACTTTGCCCCTGCGCCGACGAACACGGACTTGCGATCAGGGGCCACTTTCACCCCGTCGATCTTGCTCAGATCAATTAAGATGCCATCCTGGATGCTCGATGCGCCAGCGTAGACGCCATGTCCGCCCGCTTTCACGGCGAACGGGATCTGCTGGTCCCGCACGGTCTGGAGGATGGTGACGATATCTTTCGCGTCTTCCGGGAATACTTGGACAGCGGGGACCAGGGCTGCCGATTGGGCGGTGAAGTATTTCAGCTCGCCCGGCTGCGGTGCTGCGACTTTGTCCTTGCCCAATGTGTCGTGGAGTGTGGTGTACTGTCTAGCTCTTAGCACTTTGATATTGTTTTCCAGTTGGAGGGGCTCGTACTGACCACGTCTTTAGGCGCCATGGCTTGTGTGTTGTGGAGAAGATCGGGAATGCAGCAAAGAGGGCGCATCAATGATATTACCGCTTTATATACCAGACTTGCACGTCTGCAATGATCCTTCGCAACCTAAGCTAGTTCGTGGTTTGAGCATCTGAAATACTCCAAGTAACACGGGTGATTGATTCGGCTCCCGCCTGCGCTTCCCGGTTCCGGGAACCGGGAAGGCCGTAAACCCCATGGGACCCCAGCACCCCAGGTTTCCGCAAGTCCTAGTCTGTGCACAGGATCATGTGCCGCTGGAGAAAGCGGAGTCCATTGTGGAGCGCGTCGAAGGTCTCGTCACGGTACTCTATGTCGGGAGTTCCTCCGATCAGGTTGCCAGAACCGGATACAGATGAGGTCGCCCACGGTAATACCACCCTTTCAGGAAATAGATACATAAACCGCTTGTAATCTCCTTTCAATCTCGCCTCTCTCACCTTTATAACCCCAAAACTTTCATTCCCCCTGAAGTACAACCTCACAAGTGATGACAGCCATGCCCTGCAAGCTACAGATCCTCATCAACAAGCAAGACCACCTCAGCGACGAGGAGTTCCACCATTAGTAAGTTCTTCCAAGGCGACATTGCACTGGCACAGGTACACACAATATACAAAGTCACCGCTTGACTGACCTCGTCACAGCTGGTCCGTCGAGCACCCCAAGATCTGGCTCAGTACCGAGATTGTCAAGAAGAAGATCATCACATACTCTCAGGTTTGAGTGTTCCGAGCACAGCACTGGCGAGGGATCCACCATGGGACTGACTGGTCAAAAAGTTCCATGTCGACAAAAAGGCCACGGCGGTCCTGACCGACTTTGGCGTCGATATCGGTCAGTGGGATGGCATCGTGACCATGGTGGCGGAAAACATGGACGAGTTGTTGAGCGTAAGAATGATCCATTTTCTCTCAAAAAGTCCGTTGGAACACAGATCTGTTGACGAAACTTTTCAATATCAAGGTCTTTGCGGACGAAGAGTATCTGCGCGTGGTGGTGCCTGATGAGAAGAAGTTCCTGAAACGCGAGACGGCCATAATGATGATTGGAGAGGATCATCCAAAGAAGGTCGATGGAAAGGTCGTGGTAGATATTGGGAGGTAGAGTTATAGAACTAACTTATCTCTTGCCGGGCGACTCAACCTTTCTTCAGGTCTGCTTCTTGTATTTGAACCTCTTCAAAAGCGTCGTCAATGCCTTCTCTGCTGCTTCCTTGGTTGGTACCGTGCCGGGAAACCCGAACTCGTCCCAAACGGCTTTCTGGACCTCGGGCCGCTTCCGCAGGTAGTGCATACAGGCCCCCTCGATGTAACGCTCCTTTATGATGCCGCCGTCGTACCAGAAGGCGCGGTCCAGGATCAGGAGCACTTCCAGACAGATGGCGATCATCTCAATGGACACGAGGTACGTTCGAACCGCAACGGTGACGGCGACGTGAGCACCTCCAGCGAGCCACAACACAGGAGCTAATGACATGGCGGTTCCTGCGGCCATTGCTGTGTCACTGAGGGCCGCTCCGAAGATCGTCGCGCTCATGAAGGAGCCGCCGAAGATTCCGAGGAGACTGCCCGAGTCATTTTTGACCGGCTTGGGCACCTTCAGCGCGTTGCTGATGATGGAATCAAGGGCAACGGGATCAGGCTCGGTGTAATCGTATAACGTGGCAATGGCACGAATGGCCTTTGACAGGAGTTGCGACTTCTTGTCTTTCGAGCCAAAGAACTGGAAGTTGGGTCGATGTCGACCAAATTCTCGTACGGCGGCTTGGATGGCTCGTTTGTGCCGATCCTGGACGAATCGCTTCTGCGCCGATCGATGTATGTCGGCAACGATCTCGCTGGTCAATTGGGCATATGAGGCAGTAATCAAAGTCCTGATCGACTGTGTACCGCCTGAATCCTATCAGCGACGAGATCCAGAAGATTGAATGCCTGTCTAGAAGGGAAACGTACTTGCTGTGACACTCACAAAGATGGTGGACCCGATTCTTGGAAATCGTTGTCTCCACTCCGCGGCCATTGACTCTGTTCTCTGGGTATATCTCGTAGAGACGAGCGGCCGCAGGTTCTGTCTCAAGGCGTCGGGTAGGTCTCCCCATCGGTAGATCTCGTTGAGTTCCTGGTGACCCTCGTCGATCAATCTATTTCTGTTCTCGTCAAACACCGCCGTCTCAACGTCGGAGAGCAGCTTATCACTCATGGTAAAGACGTGAACCAGAGGGATTCGTCCAAGGTTCGTCCTGAAGAACCTTGTATCGCTTCCTTGAATTCTGGGGTTGTCCGTTGAAGTACAATACCTTGTAACCATGTCAAAAGCGAAAACAGTGGCATTCTTTGCTCCGGCAACTCACCATATACAATGGAGCTGGTCTTGTAGGCCAGGCTTCTGCCCACATTCGGACACAAAGCTCTCGACATCGCGTACTTCATTGTCGGTACCAGTCTGAAACCCTCTAGCATCGTGTAATGACAATGGAGGGTTGCCACCGGTGATAGCCTCTCGTATTCGACTTCGTCCCATCCTTGCACCGTGCTCCGGAACTGTCTAGGCCACCGTCAGAGTCAACATGAGGACCCATGGAGTGCAGCCAGTGCGACTGGTAAGGTCTTACTCACTGCTATTCGGCCAACAACTTTGTTTATCAGTGCAGATTTTCCAGCATGCGTATGCCCTGCCACCAAGACTCGAGGTATATCTGGGGCCATTGCACCGTGGATCTCGTCATGTATGTTCCACAGCGCTCGGTGTTCGCGAATGATCAATCGTTCTGTGTCTCGCAGTTCCTTTTCGAAAGTCCACCCGTTGACCAGCTGAACCACTCCAGGGTTCTTGTGGTCAAGATAATACACAGAGGGGTGAATGAAGACACCGTGAGGGCCTAAGTCAATCATCACACAGGTGAATACCGTGCACCCACGCTTCCAGTCCGGGTAAGAGGACATTGGTATACTTACTGTTTGGAAGATAGCCAACTAGCACTCCGTCTTTGAATATGAGTCGGTCGTCCTTTCCCGGGATGTCGATTCCAAAGTCAAGACTGGCGTTGAGTCCAGGCCTTTTCATTGCACTTGTCAAATCTGCCACAGATGATTTTATCCCGTTCTTGTACCGGATCTCCCTCATTGGGACACCGCGTGGGAAGATGAGGTGTGATGGATCCGTGACATTTGACCCTTCCAGCCGTTGAAACCCAGCTTTGAATCCGTACTTCTCGGCCTCGCTGACGATCCACTGCAGCGGCCACAGAGCCAAGCCGTCTTCCTCGCATCCCCCACAAAGATTGCCATGTGTGCCGACGAACCAGGCCTCCTGAAGACTTCGTGAGCCATCCAAATCGTCTAGATCTGTGGACGGGAACCGGGTAGGCCGATACGCATTCCTGCGCTCAAACAGAGCAAGCGCATGCCGCGCGTGCAAAGTCGTTCTCAGAAGACCCATGTCATTGAGACCTTCGTCATCCAGGGCCTTGACTGTGTCAAACAAGCCGAGAAACTTGATTGAGGGACTGGGTCGGGTGTGGTGTGATCGATGTGCAAACACAGAGTTCCGCAACAGGTCGTCACTCGTCTTTGCGGCGTGATAAAGTTGTAGGGACTTGTGGAAAACGTCGTCAAAGTCAGGGTCATGGGCACGCAACGCTCCCAGGTGGTGCAGTAGACCAGCAACGGCACGGACGACGAAAGCGCCTCGGCTTGAGCCGAAGAGAAAGATTTCATCCTGGGATGGGCACAACTTGCAGCATCGCTTGTAGATCTCTTTGATTTTGGACTCGTAGCCGCTTCTCCCTTTCCCGGTCACTCCAGAGACGAGGCGCTCGATGGGGCCATCGACGGCACCTATACCGTCGACAATCGGGTGTCGTTGCTGCGACCAGGTCTTCCCGGTTGAGTCCTTGACTTCTCCCACAGCTGCCATCATCCATAGCCGACTGATGTTTGTAGCGTTACCTTGGGGGGCCCCAATTGCTCCGTCTGGAGTCAACCAAGTGCCATCTGCGCAGATAATGAGGCGGACAGGGTGATGCGCAGTGCCGCAGTCACGACACGGGCTCGTCTCTCGATTACTTTCCGGATCAGCGATGGTAGCCGATGGTCCCGGGGATTCTTCTCTGGTCATGTTGGAGACTGCGGCTTTCGTCTTGTAGTAGAATTCGACAAGGCACAAGGATAAAACTGTACTCCAGCCTTACTCAGCCTTGCGTGTCTGTGACGTTTCTCACTATACCGAGCCAATATTCCACGATTTGTTGTGGTAGTGGAATCTAAGCCGCACGAGGCTCAGTCTTTCTTTAATGGAAAGGACAAGAGGAGGACCATCAACGACGAGTTCACAACAGAAAAAAGAAAAAGACTGGCCTCCTCCCAACTGGTGCGGCTGAGAGGAGGGAAATACTTGTACAACTTTCCCCTCTTTTTCAGCCGCGGTCCACATGCATGCATGCAATCCATCATGATAAGGCGGTTCACATTCAGCCTTATTTCTGATCGTTGCCTTGCGCTTCACAGCCTTACTCGCACATCCTGACGCCTCGGCATTGTGCATTGACTGGTTTCGGGGTGGTCTGTGTATTTGCAAATCACTTGTAATCAGCTGGATAGGTTTGTGGAAAGGGGGTTTCACCTCGATGGTACATTTCCTCGGAGGGTTGGCGAGATAGCTGGAGGTGTACCGAGTAGGCAAGTACCTCTGTAGGTAGGCACGCACCCAATGGGTGACAAAATTCTGTCCCCACTATTATTAGGGTATTCTTACCGGATTTCCTGCCTCACTGGGGACGGAATTCTGTCACCACTGGGTGGTGGGACGCGTGGCACGTAGGGTCACTAAGATTATGTAATGAAGGCCACGCTAAACCCTTGGGGGCTTTAGTCGGAGGCTCCAATAATTATTCGATAGTACATAACCAGTCAGATAAGGTCCCTAGGATCCAGCAGAATTCACTATGTTCCAATATAAAGTCACACTGAGTCTCTACTTCTATCAGATTTGGAGTTAGAGCACCAACCTGCTGCTTTAGCCTCGGGACTGTCAAGCTCGCTGTACCTGGGCGCGTCTCCTTCCTCCACTGTCGGCAATTCGTGCACCGGCTTGGGCTGGCCGTCCAGCTCGGCCCTCTCGTAAATTTTACTTGGTAATGTCGTCGCCGTGTTTGTCCCTACTGGAGCTCCAGTTCCAGTACCAGCGACCGTGGCTGGCGTTACATAAGTCGCATCCTTGCCATCTCCAAGGCCCTTTTCGTGGTTGGACGGGACCAAGGAATTCGATCCTTGACGCGTACGAGTATGTGTACGCTTGCGTCGTCGCAGGAACCAGATCGCCAGGCCTGCTAGACCCAGCGCTGCGAGAACGCCGATGACGAGTCCAGCGATGGCGCCACCACTTAGACCAGAGCCGCTACCACCGCCACCGCTACCGAGCAAAGAAGGATCCGTCAAGTTGCCCGGTTGAGACGTTGCGGTAGTAGCAGCGGCGCCAGAACCGCCAGCGGACCTTGTCGTGTCTGTCGTGCCTGTCGTGCCCGCCGTGGTAGTCGATGTATTGTAAGTTGATACAGGGTTTCCAGTACCAGTTGTACCGCCAGCAGATGTGGTAATATATGGCGACGCAGTCGAACTAGAACCACCTTGCGAAGTCGTCGCACTAGGAAGAGGGGTCGTAGCACTTCGTCCCGACTCGTCGATGATATTTATCGGGGCCGAGTCGACGGTCTGAGTCCCTTGAATCAGGCGCAAGCTGTAATATCCCCCATCATTGTCACCGATGTCGACATCCCACTCGAATTGTTGAACAATGCCGTCGTCATCATCAGCTGCGTGAACCAAAAACATGTAAGTCGGCTTGAAGCAGTTACTAGTGCATGAGCAGGAGCGGAGATTTGTTAACTTACAATCGTCGTTAAAGACATCATCAATGACCCTCCCATCTTGGACCAAATCCACGGCGATAGGCTAAAAACGGTTGAGAAGTCGCATTCCGATGATTTGCAATGGAAATAAGTTGAACAAGCCAGAACGTACCGTCATTCCATCTCCGCCCGTCCAAGATATGAAGATTTCTGCACCTTCGTTGATTGACTCGGGAACATTGGAAAACTGAAGCGACTGAGCCTGGCCTTGACTTTGACGCAGCCAGATGACCCAGAGAAGAAGCACGGGGATGGGGATGCTCGACCAGGGCATATTCCTCGGTACATGAGAAAGCCCTCTTGCCTTTTCAGAATGAATAGTTTTGGTTTGAATCACGAGTAAAACAACTCCACGTCAAGTGCACACCTGCACAGACAAGACGTAAAAGGGAGTCCTGAGGCATTATTTCAACGATAATCACAACAATAATTCAGTGCATTCTGGTCCTCACTGATGGCTGAGTTGCAAATGTATTTCGGGATGGGATAGCCAGTAAATTCCAAGACACAAATGCTTGATGACCCACAACAAGCGTGGCTGTGTGGTCTTGTGCTGTCTTGTGGTGGACTGAATCAAGCTCTTGGTCGCTAGGCATGCTAGACTGACTCGTCAGCTACAAAGGAAAAGTTGGTAGAGGACGTGGAGCTTGCCATGGAACCTGGATCAAATTCATGGGTCATTCTTCTTATCTCATGCACGGAGTACCTTGACTGCCATTTTGCCTCTATAGCACTTTGCATGCTTGAAGCTATTCTTAGATCCGTCTCTTTTGATGAACCTGGGCACTGCACAAACTCCGAGCCCCCTCATTCTATGTGCACTATCCAGGAGCTTTTAGGAAATATAGAAAGATCCCCACACAGTTTTTCCTGTTTGCGGCAAGTCCCGCTGTGCGTTTCGGAACACCGCGGCGAGGGTGAGGGCGGTTTTGTCAAGCATTGGCACACGTCGGGCATGAAAACTTTTCAATCCGATCCGCAGGTATGATTGCTTTGCGATTTTGCAGCTGAGGAAAGCAGCAATGGGGGCCAAATACCTGTATCGTGATTCACTCGGGGGAAAAGGCGACATATGGACAGTCAAATGCTCGACTGCGCATGAGTGTGATGATGCTGAACCTAGAGCCGTTGCTTCTGATCCTCGTGTCACACGATATCCGGCCAAAGCCAGAGAGGTGGAGGGCTCAATATCCCAAGCAGCATCAGGATATCTGTGATTAAAGGTGAATTGCACAAGTGACATGAGGCACACGCCAAAAATCGGCCCAGGAGTGACGAACGCAACTGTCTCCATTCGAATCACAGCCTCACCAGGCTGCGCCTGTCCTTGGAAAATCATCGAACTCGTCGCTATGGACATCTCGTGTCCGGCCCCATAGTGGCCTTCGGGCAGAAAGACTGTCTTGGTGAAGGCGACCAGAACTTGGAGGACTGCTCCATGGGTCATTGGTGAAGAAAGAAAGACAATACATGCACAGACTTCGAAGAACAGACAAAGTACCACCTATAGTGGACATCTTGGACTTGCGGGACCTGGCTTTCTGAGCCGTGGCTCAGCAATTATACGTATACTGTAGACTCAATGACCCCTAAAATAGCATCAACAGTCCATGTATAGTCCTTTGCTGTTGCGCAATACACTTGAGCTTGGTCTTGGGCTGCGCAAGGTATACGTCCAAACGTACCCTCTTGACGTGTTCAATGGCCAATTCGATTCTGAACAGAGAAAGTCAATTCAAGGTGATCACGCGACAGTGATTGGATCGGATTGGAGGGGATATGACAACGAATGATGGAGAACTCGCAGCAGCACTGCCACCGCTCTTGCCAACGAAGTCTTGGAGTATTGGCGAAGAAGGGATTTGGCAAATCGTTACTTTCTCTGGCCTTGTGTTCGATGATCCTACACTAGAATTCAACTTAAAAGTATCCAAGTCACAACTCAGTCTATATAAAAGATGTCTCTCCCGGCAGGTTGGGCACAGTCACTCACATCAAGCCAAACTCGTCCCTCTGAAAAGCACAATTCTTTATCAAAAGCAAGAAGCAGAGTCTCAACAGAAAGACTTTCCCTACATCCAAAAAAGCAAACATGAAAGCATCTGCTGTGGTCATGACAACCCTGTTGGCTGGTGCCGTTCTTGCCCTACCAACGGCGCCAGCACCAGTCGACTCTTCCAAACACCTGGCGACTCGCGACACGAATGTTGATGCGTTGAGAGCGACTCATTATGCCAGGGGGGTGGGACAGTCCCTCGATATCAGGGATGATCCGGTATGTCACTCTTGAAGAGCTGTGGCCTCATCTCGCATTACATTGTGGAGGATTGCTAACATCGTCCAAGGATACCACCGATGGGGAAGTCACAGACGATCTCGGAAGCGACACAGATGACGAGGTGAGTACTTACATTGGATCTTTCTTCTCCCCTAAGCTGCACCGATCCTAACTGGGCATTGTAGCGCCGAAAAGGAAAGCTTACGCGAGCGGTTCGCAAGCGGTCAGCGCGGAGATCCAGCTCATCCTCTTTTGCAAGGAAAGACAAGAGACGTCCGGATGATACAGTGAGATCTGGCCCCTTTTACGAAGTACGATTTTGTCACCAGTTCTAACGATATGCAAGGACAGTGAGCATAGTGACGGAATCGACACTGACAATGACAGTGATAGCGATGATGACAAGGTATATCCCTAAACACCTCCACGTTCGCTAGAGCCCCGTTGATATTAACTTGAGTCTCTTCTAGAAACATCGCAAGCGAGCCGTGGCCGTCAAAAAGGCAAGACGCGCAAATCGTACTAGACGCACCGCCAACAACAAGAAACGCGATGACGATACCACCGACAACGATAGCCCAACTGACGGCGAGGATATTCATACTGACCACACTGCCAGCGACACTGACTAGGTCTCTGTCCTGCAAGCACTTTATCGTATCATATCTAGGGGTCGATTTTTGTCGAGGACGATGAAATTTCATAGGCTCACCGCATTTCGGAGGAAGTCGCTCGTTAATTTGAAGGAGGAATTTCCAACTCACTTGCCACTCATTTCTTTGTTTTGCTCGGGACATACCGTATGTACTCAATGCGGTGGAATTTGGACAAAGCTTTCTTTCTAATTCCCGATTGCTTCGGCAGACAACGTTTGGGTGTCTAAAACCCCTCTTCCCGAGTCCTGATACGTAGTAGCTCTTTAGAATCACCGAAAGGGTGGGCCTTTGGTTGCCAGAATTGTTTACACCTGCTCCCTTCTGCAGGTGAAAAATCCAATGCGCTGAACATGCTCCATTTCCTCGACATCTACAAGAACCTCCGAGGTGTAACTATATCCAAGCAACCTCGGTTCGCTAGCTGCAGGACGCTGCAAGTTTAAGAGCTGCTGGAGCATAGAACTATTGGCTCTATCGCATAGTGCCTGTAGTGAGAGGTGTCGGTCGTCATGAACAACACTGTGCTCTTCTGTCAAGGTAGTCATGTGGTCAGAGAGGCTGACTGTCGTCTCTAGAAAGGAATGACGGTACAGGTGGTGTGACTAGTGACGGCTGCGCTCCACCAACAATACAACTAGACAGAGCTCTATCCATCGCAATCGTTCGTGTCGCTGCATCTAGGCTGACACCTGGTCTGACTTTGTCCCCATCATTGAGAACCCCCCCGAGCGAACACCTTGCCATGAGTAGCTCCGCGTCCTACCCCAGCAGCGCAGCCTGCGGAATCAAGATCGCCCACTCCCCGTTGAGGTCCTCGACCGTCAACGTCCACTCATTTTCGTCCAACTCGACTTCAAATTCACCGAGGCCAGAAGTGATAAAGGTATTGGTCGCGGGATCCAATTTTCCAATGACACCTTGGTTGACGTCAACAAGCCTTTTGACTTGCTCGCTATAAATGTAATCAACTTTGACAATATCGGTGGCTGGATTAGTGGCGGTATCGGTAGCGACCTGGAAGGTGGTGCGGTCGACAAAGAGAAACCCGGCGGGTGGACTGGCTGGATTCGCATTCTGCGTCACGGTGATGGCGTTGGCATTCGTGCCGTTGTACTCCACTTCCAGAGCTCCGGCGGCCTGAGGTGTGAGGAACACTGTTAGTCGTGTCTGTTGTGTTGATAAATGGGAGAGTGTGCTGTGCTGTGCGAGGGAGATACGGAAGGCAAGAACTTACACTCTCAGGGAACAAGATATCGGTCTTGACGTTGCCACCAGGGACGGCGATCGCAGTTTCGAAAGTACCATTCACGTTCACTTCCTCTCCTGGTGTCTCTTCCGCCGCTGCTTGCGACGCAACAGCCGCTTGTGACACAAATATTCCCCACTCTCCATTCATGTCGGCGACAGTCAACGACAGCTCATTTTCCTCAGCTTCAAATTCTAGCTCGCCCAGAGCAGTGTCTATCACGAACTGGCAGCCATCGGCCGAGAGTTTGCCAACTTGAGCTTGGGCAATGTTTGCCGCCACAACCGCAGGATCTGTCGGAATAGTTAGTATTTGGGAGAAGAGCTTGTTGCAGTGAAGCCTTACTTGCGACGTTGAAGATGTAGTCAACCTTTTGTAGAGTGAGACCCTGAGTTCCTCCGGCCAAATTCACGATAAAAGAAGAAGGTTCAAGGGCGACGAAGCCTGTCGGAGGCGGAGCCGGGGTCTTGTTCTCCCTCACGTTGAGGGTTCTACCGTCTCGGTTTTTGAACTCAATTTCGAGGCTTCCGATTGCCTGGTCATGACTTAGTGAACGCGAAGATGACTTGGTAGGATGTGGACATCCTTCGCTTACCGATGGTGGATAGAGGACGTCTGTCTGAATATCACCACCCTGTAAGGCTACAGCCTGACCAAATGTGCCATTGATATTGATTTTTTCGGCTGTTTCTCCTCCCGCGGCAGCGTTGACTGGCGCAGTTCCTGGCGCGGGACAGGAGGTAGCAGTGGCAGCTGAAGGAGCCCTCGTCGAACTGACTGCAGTCATTGCTCTGCTTCTGCGCTCATCCAAGTGACGTCTTTTGATAGCTGGAGGCGCGGGAAGGGCATCGGGTAGGCGGAGATTGGACACAGCAGCCCGCTTAGCTTGCACCAATACCGCAGGTCCAGCCAACGGCATCGGAGCAGCAAGCAGACTCAAGAACTGAGACAGGAATATCAATGAAAGAAATAACATGATGACAGCAGTGTAGGAGTAGAGGACAGCTCCAAGACAAATGACGAGACAAGCAGTGTGGAAAGAGTGTGACACGAAAGAAAGGAAGGCTGGGCCAGCAGCTCAAAAGAATATAACAGACTCGGAAAACGATGTGCTGTATCAACACGTTTCTTGACAAGATTTTGCAAAGCGGCTGGACTCTATATAGTGAGTCCTCTACAGACGTTCATCACGGGCAACGGGTCCCTCGGAGTGAGAGATGAACACTCATCTGGTGGATCCTACATGACACCCGCTATCACAAGAGCAATTTCAAAGACGTGTCAAGTTACTCTAGAGGATACATACCTCCTCCTAGTAGCTAGCTAGACTTGTGCATAGAAATCATCCGTCAACACAGGAGTTACTTTCATAACCTAGCGCCGCCTCCTCTACGCAAAGGTCTCTACGCGGACTTGTCGCCAGGCTGTGTCCGAAAGAGGCAAGATCAAGTTAATGCCAAGACATTCCACCCCGCCGCCAAGCACAAACGTCGTCGCGGAATGAGTGACGCAAGCAAATTCGACTCGCACTTGGCTTTCACTTCTAATCGTATACTGCTTGGCAGGGCAATTGAAGACGAAGCTCCACGTGGCTCAATGCCCTCGCCAGTACTTGCGATAATCGGAACTTAGCAGTGAACAACCATGCCAACGTGCGGTGTCTAGGCCAGTCACAATATGTTTTTGGAGACGTTAGTTCGAACCCGGTATTCGTCGCAGCTCTCACAGTACCTCTGGACATCTGCAAAGCTGATCTGGATAGCATTACATTGGCAGGATCGCTACCACACCATTCATCAGGTGCAAGACGCGAATGCGTCGAGGTGGTTACGTGGCGCACGTCGTGGCGTTTTCTCCAAAGCGTCGTCGAGCCAAGCCGCTTGCGACTGTTCGCGACTCTATCCGTCTCATCTTGGTCTGAACGTCTGTATAGCCGCCCTAAGAACCCCATGAACCCCATCAAAGGTGACGCTATCTCCTTATTCCTTCGTAATCAGTATGATCTAGAACCTGGTTGGAAGCGCGAGGATATAAGCAAGCGAGCTTGCTAGGCTAAAGCTACCGTCAAGACTTATATTGATAGCTTGTATCACTTGGTACCTTTCTTCCTCTTAGCGAGCAAGAGGCGGCTGGCTTATCCCCCATGAAACAGGTGTACGTCAATTCTGCACGCACACAGCCAATATGGCCCTCTCCAGATGTGCAAGTAACTTTCACGTCCACGACCCGAGGGCCTGGTGTCGTTTGACATGACAACCCCTATCTGCCGTTCCCCACGGAGTATTGGAAAGCGAGGCTGAAAGCCCATTTGATGATGCCGCAGCACGAAACTTGCTACCATGTAGCCTCGCCTCTTCGATGGTGTTGTAAACAACGGCATCGTCGACGGCTGGACAATAAGTACCCCCAGAGGATGCTGATTCCTGTTAGAAAGGGAACCACTTCACCAACGAGAGGGGACTGAAGCCTCACTGACTTTCCTAGTCTATCAACCCGGGTACTCACAGGCTGGCCATTGAGTTATTCCTGTTATATTCAACTTACATTCCTTTGCTCTTTCCAGTTCGCTTTTTCCTGACTATTTAAATAACAATGCTGTTCAGTTTTGGAACCCCACTGCAACGCCAACGCCGCCACGCCCTCAACCCACATCGCCTCCTCCTCGCCCTCCTGACACTCACATCGGGTGCCGGCGCCCAAGACGATGATGAGCCGACCTCGTCAGTAGCTCAAGCTAGTGAGCCATTCACCGATCCTCTGACGGCACTGCCAATGCAACGTTTCTTCGGAGCACGGACACAATTCGCCTTCTCCATGGCATTATCCACCGCCGCAACGACAACAACGTCCTTCATCGGACAGCTCTCCTTTCCGCTAGTGGGTGGCGCTGGCTGGGGCGCCTTCGGCCTCACAGGCGAGATGGAAGGCAACTTCATTCTGGCCGTGTGGCCGGATGGCGCAGGCGGCGTCATGGCGTCGTTCCGCCAGGCCATAGACGAGGACAACCCGGCCGAAGTGCGTGGCAACTTCGCTGTGCGGCCCATCGCCAATGCCGTCTCCGTCAGCAACACGCAGCTCACATACACCTTCCTCTGCGAGGAGTGCCTGAACAGCAGCCTCGGCCTGGGGCCGGAGGCCACCGTTGCCAACGCCGTCATGGGCTGGGCCTTGTCTGAGCGAGCGGTGCGCGACCCCGGAAACCCTGCGGCGTTCTTGGGATTTCATGAGCGTGGCTTTGGACCATTTACAGCGAGGTTGGGCGACGCTAGGACAGCGGCATTCGAAGGCGTGGCAGCGACGGCTGGGTTGCCGGTGGCAGACTCGGGGAACGCGGTTCCAGCCCAAACCAATATATTTGACGGCGAGGGAAGTGGGGACGAAGGCGGCAGCGGTGATGACGACGATGACGACGACGATGATGATGATGATTTCTTTGGGGTAGCTGCTAGTACTGGTGCTGGTGCTGGTGCTGGCGTCCCTGCTACAGGAACTAATATCGGCAGCGGAGCCGCAGCTTCCGGTAACAACAACCAGGGTGGCGGTAGGGACGACAACGCGGATGACTCGGACGACTCGGACGACGATGACTGATGATGAGAATTGTATCATCAGTAGCGTCCAACAGGGCCTATTGTAAGGTGAATTACCTCTGTGCGTCTGTCACTATTTGATGCCCCTTGATCTACTGTACATATCTGTCCTTCCATCGATCACTACTTGGGTCACTGAGCGCTCAGTAGTGCACTATCGTTTGTAACATAGAACAGAGACCGGATCTCCGTGGCAAAACTGCCACAAAAGCAAGACAGTTCTCGAAAATCCCAGGCTCAGCATTAGGTTGGGTGCTGTGGCTAATGCTTGTCTGCGATGAGAAGAGCTTCCCCGGAATCTGAACAGGCTCCTGAGAGGACAAAGGGCACTAGAATCACAAGACGAAGTCCTTTAAGGCTTGAGCCTTATTGGCTGGGAAATGGGACAATTTCTACCCTGATGAGTGTAAAGGTCGCGAACCACATGTCCACTTCTTCCATCAGTCTATGTTGTAGGTATTCCACATGCGCAGCCAGGTCCGACCATCTGCCTCGCTTTCCATCGCCGAGTACTATACTCCGTGTATTCTGATAGGTCCTTGGGACTGGTAGGATTCGCCATGTTCCTCCATCAAGTCACTGAAAGTATCGTGGCCTTGCATGTGCCTTGCTGCCCGGACTCTCTTACGTGACTCGCTTAACTCCGTCAACGGCTCCACTTGCCGTAACTGCTCACAGTGCGAAAAGCGGCAGGTACTACTTCCTAATGCGGAAGGCCATTTCCCGACTTCTCCGCATTCTCAACCTTCAGAGTCTCGGGCCCTTTTTTCCTTCTCCAACATCTCAGCGAATGGCAGAAAATGGTTGACGTCTTTGCGTATGACTTAGTCAACATTTCGTTCAAATTTGATTGATTCTCTTAACAAGTCCTTTTTTGCCCGTGCCGAAATTTCTGCCAACACAGATAACAAAGACAATGCCTCCCACGGGTGTCGCCATCCTCCTCGGCGCTGGGCCCACAACCGGTTCGGGTATTGCCCGTGTCCTCGCCCGGCCATCCCAAGGAAACCTCGCTGTCGCCCTGCTCTCGCGCAGTGGCGATGTCCAGCTCGCCGAGCGCCTGTCGCGCGAGTCCGACGGCGGGGTGCTCAAGGCGTTCAGAACCGACACTACCGAGCAGAGCCTGAGTAATGTGTTTGAGGAGATCAAGAAGTGGTCTGAATCGCTGGGCCAGGACGTGAAGTTGAAATTGGCCATCTGGAGCATCAAACACTCGCACAAGACGCCCTTCGAGGAGGAATCCGCCCAGCGTTTTGGCGGTAGCTTGCAGACCTACGTCACCGGGGCCATGGTTTTCAGCCAGCTGAGTCTCAAATGGATGCTCGCACAGTACCCAGCGGATGTCGAGAAGAGTTCAGCAAGTGGAGGTGAGGAAATGATCAAAAAGGGAACCTTGATCTTCACTGGAACCTTGGGCGCTTTGAGAACCAATCCCGGCTACGCCGCGTACGGGGCCGGACGAGCGGGCGTGAGGATGCTGGCCCAGAGTCTGGCCAGGGAGTATTCCGCCAAGGGTGTTCATGTGGTTCACGCGATTGCCAATGGCGGTATCGTCGATGTCGATGCATCTGTCGGCGCGGAGGGAGATGACGCGAAAGCCAAAGAGGCCAAAGTCGCTCTAGGAGAAAGGATCCGCGCGGAAAGCGTGGGCAGATTGTACCTGGAGTGTATGCGCCAGAGCTGCGACTTGTGGGTCCACGAGTTAGACATGAGGCCTGCGAGGGAGAAGTTTTGATTGCTTCGAACCATCCCAGCTAGCCACCACTCGGTATAGAGACTTGAGGCATGTGGCCGAACATACTCGGAAATGACTGAGTGTCTGTGCGAGGGACATACTAAGAGAGGATGCCATCAACTACCTACATAAGTACCTACATCATATATTCGTTCATTGCGTGAGAGATTTTAAAAAGCTGTCATGATACCAATAGTCTTGTATTTTCCCAACTCTCCCCATTTTCTACTCACTACCTTTCTACGTACCAAGCCAGGTCGTTTCCACTTTGCAACTCATACTCCAAGAACCCGTTGCCCAAGAATCGAAAGCGGTTCTTGTCTCTAGTCACAATCTCAAAGTCTTCGGGACGCAGGTCCTGGATGAGCCGCTTGAAGACCAACGCGCTGCCGGCAAAGGTGGCCGTCACGCGGCCGTCGACGGTGTTGTTCTTGTACCAGCTGCGACAGGCCCCGGTCCAGGTCAACGTCTTATGGATCTGGTCCGAATAGAGAATAAACTCGTCCACGGCACTCTGCTTGGGCACGACGGCTTTGATGTCCTCCGTGGCGATCTTCCGCATCCACTTGATCATGTACTCGGCACTCCAGCCGAGACTCTCCATCAGAGAGCCATGGCCGATCAGCGCGTTCGGCCCCGTGAACATGAAGTAGTTGGGCATGTCGGCCGACGCGAGTGAGAGGTAGGACGAAGGCTCCTCGGCCCATTTGTCTGCGAGGTTCACCGAGTCGCGACCAACGATGGGGTACTGAGGACGGTAGGAGACGTCGAACCCCGTGGCACAAACAACTGGATCGGGCACTGGGTTAGCCTTTGCCGGGACCTCTCAAGCAAGGGTGTCTCGGAATGTGTAAACCCTTACCGACATCCACCTTGTACGTCTTCCCGTCGGCGGTGACGACGCTGTCGGCATCGATGTGCGTGATGGGGCTTTGAGTGAGCTCCACGTTGTCGCGCAAGAAGGATTCGAGATAGCCTTCGCCCGGTGTGATCCTCCGACAGCCCAGCTCCCACTTCGGAATCAGTAGCTCGCACAGTCTCGGGTCGTTTTGTAATTTGCTCGTCATCTGTGTACGAGCCAGCTCATAGATCTGCCGATTGAGCTCCGAACCTTTCAAAAACTGCGGGTGTCCTTTGTCAGCTTGGTAATTTTTCCCAAGGACATTTTGCTCGGGGGCTGAATTTGCCATACCATTTTGAAACTGTCGTTGATGCTGTGGATTATCTTCTTGCGATATTCATGATGTTTCTTGGGGTTGTTCAAAAACTCTTGCTTCTCTTCGTCGGTGTACGCCGGGTTATACGCAGGGTCGTCCTTACCCAGCAGGGACGCCGGGTTCATGGTACTGACTACCCACGTAGGCCCGCGTTGGAAACTCGTCACCTTTGTTCCAGATAGCTTGGCCAATTGGGGCAGAATCTGGATTCCGGATGAACCGTTGCCTATCACGGCAATTCTTTTGTTGCTGTAGTCGTATTCGTGGTCCCAGTTGGCCGAATGGACCTTCTTGCCTGTAAATTGCGACAGTCCAGGAATCGACGGCCACTTCCAGTTGCTGTGGCGCACAAGTCAGCTACTTCAGAGCTTGGAGGATCATTTCTCGGGAAAAACATCTGACTTTAGGAAACCTTGCGCTGATATTAAAATGTCCGCATATTCCTGTATAACAGCGCCGTTATGCTCGACCGTCACCTGCCACTGACCGCGATCTTCTTGCCAATACGCACCCGTGACGCGATGATTGTACTTGACGTCCCGTTCGAGATTCCATTTCTGAGCCGTCTTCTTCATGTATTCCCAAATTTCAGGGCCAGTTGAGAAGAACCGAGTCCAGCTGGGGTTGGGGTCAAACGGAAAAGCCTCCGCCGGTCAGCAATCAAGCAATCCGCTCGTGATAACGCTGCGGAACGTACATAGATGTGCGAGGGAACATCGCAGACAACGCCCGGGTAGGTGTTTACCAGCCAAGTGCCGCCCAGCTCGGACCTCGCTTCGTAGATCGTGTGGTCGATCATATCGGGGAGGTCGGGGTGTTGGTGCTGAAACTTGTGGGCCAGCGTGAGGCCCGAATAGCCAGCACCAATCGTGACGACACGGAGCTTTCTGGGCGTGTATGCTGGCAGAGGGTTCAGTACTGTGCTCGCATCTTTCAGACTTTGGGAGTCGCCGGCATGGGCAGTCGGTTCAGGGACCCCGTCAGACGTGACACCAGCGCTGTTGCTGGTTCCATCGGGCGCGCTCTTGGTCGCACTGGCTGTAACGCCGTTGGTCTCGCTATGGTATGCCATTGTCATGTGGTAAAATGAACCAGATGCTGTTGGGAGTGCATCACAAGCGGAAGTGGCATCAGGTCCTGGGAATAAATCAAATCCCCTCAGGCTGTGGTGAAGGCCGAGGTCAGTGCGATCATGCCACTGCCATGTACATACAGCCTTGCCGGCGGAATGACTTTTTCTCGCCAGCTCCACTGCGGAAGCCAGCCTGTGATTCTGCTGGAGTCGCAAGTGAGTGCAGGAGTGGAGCCCACGATGGTGTTTTTACCCGCTTTAGGGATCCGTACTATCAAGGCACCAAGTCCCCTTTCGCCGAAATGCATTGACCGGTGATCTAGACGCGTCAGACCACTCGGCCGTGCACGAAACACACGATTTGACATATCATTGATGGCCTTGAGATGGGACAAGGCAAAATACCCCTGTCGCCGAAAACCTTTCGGCAAAGGTTCAGACTCGAGGCGCCGCTATGATCCCTCCAGTTGCTGGGGAAGTTTTTATCAACCCCATGCATGTCTCGATAGCATATATCGGGTCTTGTGAGCAAATGGTTAGATTCGCCTGCTCAACAACTCCTTCCAGCTCGTTCGTCACATACCTTCATCCCAGTGCTGCGCCTTTCTTCAACAGCATCACTCGCTCCGCAGGTTGCTCTCCCCCACCAGACGATATTCCCGCAGGACATGGGTTCCATAGGAGAGTGCCGCGAGTATGATGCTCTACTTATCGGTGCCGGCTTCGGAGGCTACACAATGCTTCCGAAGCTGCGCAAATTGGGACTGCGAGCCAAGATATTTGAACGCGGGTCAGGCTCTGGAGGCGTCTGGTTCGTATTTCGACTGTGAAAAGCGTTGGGCAGCCTGACTGACGATCGTTGCAGGCATTGGAATCGATGTAGGTGATTCATTCCTCATGGCTGGGTAAGAAGCTCACGCCTTTCAAGACCCCGGTGCTCGCGTCGACAGCGACTCGCCGGCATATCAATTCTTCGATCGGGAGATTTGGGAGGATTTTACCTTTTCTGAACGGTTCCCTGGGTACCGTGAATTACAAAAGTACTTTCAGCATGTGGAGAGAAAATGGGACCTTCGGAAAGATATCGAGTATCACAAAAACGTCACTTACGCACACTGGGATCCCGAGAGTCGGCGCTGGGTGGTAGGCTGTTCTGACGGAACAACGACGCGATGCAAATGGCTGTTTACGAATGTGGGCTTTGCGGCCAAGGAGTAAGTGCGTCGTGACACCATGCAATCTTTCTGTGGAATGACTGAACGGAGCACAGGTACAAACCGTATCTCAAAGGCTCGGCCGACTTTCAAGGTGAGATGTTCCACACGGCTCATTGGCCAGACCACGATGTCGCCCTCAAAGACAAACGCATCGCCGTCATCGGGACTGGTGCCAGTGGGATCCAGGTGATTCAAGAAGCCGGTAAAGTCTGCAAGCATCTCACGGTGTATCAACGCACCCCTAATTTCTGGTGAGTTGCCTCGTATCCGAAGTCGAACGCCTTCTGAGATATCATCAGTCTACCGATGCAGCAGCGTCGTCTGGATCCGGTGGAAGAGCAGAGAAAGAAAGACAGTGGCCTGTACGAGGCGGCCTTCAAAGCGTGCGAAAAGACCTCTGCTGGTGTGCCGTACGAATCGAATGGCCGCAAGACCTTCGATGATACCAGTGAAGAGCGGGAAGCGTATTGGAATCGCCTCATACAGGACGGTGGCTTCAAGTTTTGGGTCGCCGGTTACGACGACCTGACCTTGGACCAGAGAGCCAACGACGCTGCCTACGACTTCTGGCGCCGCATGGTCCTCAAACGGATCAAGGATCCCCAGAAAGCCCGTCTGCTGGCGCCAGAGGTCCCACCGCATCCTTTCGGTGCAAAGCGTCCGTCGCTGGAACAAGACTACTTTGAGGTTCTCAGCCAGCCAAATGTCGACATCGTCGACGTGAACGAGTTCCCTATCCAGGAAGTCAACGCAACGGGGATTCGTACTACCGCGGGGCAAGTCGATGTGGACATAATTGTTCTCGCAACCGGCTTCGACGGCTTGACGGGTGGCTTTATGGACATCGACATCCAAGGGATTGATAGAAAGACCCTGAAACAATACTGGAGTGACGGAGTCAAAACTTCCATGGGGGTCGCGATCCCGAGGTTTCCCAACCTGTTCTTCCTGTTTGGGCCACAAGCACCATCAACATTCTCGTAGGTGTTTCTCTTTGTACTGGCGGTCCTTGAGCCTAACAGCATGTCTTTCCCAGAAACGGTCCGACCTGTATTCAATTTCAAGGCCAATGGTTCGCAAAGCTGGTCCAGAAAATGCTCGACGAAGGCATAGAAACACTGGAACCCACCGAGGAAGCAGCAGAAAGCTGGACCGAGAAGATTCGTGAGCGGTGGGAAGCAACTCTGCTCCCTCGGGGCAAGATAAGTATCTCTGCCGCTCCAAAGGTGGCCTTCACTGACATTTCACACAGCTGGTGGACTGGTGCAAACATCCCAGGCAAAAAGGTGCAGCCACTCAGCTGGGCAGGGGGGCTCCCGTCATATATGCAGATGCTGTATGAGACGCTGGAGAAGGACTATCAGGGCTGGATCGTCGGAAAATAGCCATGCGAGATTTGCTGTGTCGTAAGGTGTCCAAGTGAAAGTTGACCTGGGGTAGAGGAGGAGCATTTGATTTACAGAGAACTACAAGGAAGGGGTTTGGAGATGGCAAGGTTTTGCGACATGTGCAACGTCTATACAATAGTTCAGCCTTGCGAGCCTTGCCGACCAGTCATATCCCGTGTATGGGATCATTTCTCTGGCCAGGCGATCAATGGCCATATCTCCGCAATCTTTCCCCCCTGAAACCGAAAGAAGACGTGCTCGTAAAACACCACGCGATCTTGCCCCAACTTCTTGTTCTGAGAATCGTGGCTCAGTCTGAATCTCGCTGAGACCATGCCATCCAGGTCAGTCGAGCAGTTGTCATCCACAACTAACATCTCTAGATCAAGGCGAAAATTCTCGAACTTCCCGACAATTCCATCGATCATTCTGCCATAATCCTGGCTGGTCATCGGCGGCTGTGCGTTGTAGATGACGCCGTCGTGGACAAACTCTGGTAGTTGGGAGAATCTGCGCTCGCTCATGCAGGCCGCGTATCTGGAGCAAATTGTACGCAGATTCGTTGGTTTTGGCGGATGAGATGATTGGGTAGGTAGCATTTTAGGCGTCAAGAGGGGGAACAGGAGGCCTGGATAGTTGGTAAAGGAATATACCCTGCTGAAGAGTGGAACGAGATCAGATTTTATAACAGCCATAGCTTTGTTCTTTGCCCTTGGTTGAGTAATTTCGGCGAAGATATGACTGGTAGGCGCATGGTGGTGAATGACCAGTCCGTCAATGTGACATTCAATATACTAACGTTTACACCGTGAAGCCGCATTGCACCTCCTCGACATACAGTATCATGCCACCGTCTCAACAACAGCCTGCTTTTTCATTACATTTCTTGTCTATGGAAGGTCAAAGTCCACCACTATGCGCCTACAGTCATCAGCAACCCGTTGTACAGGCCTGTGCCGTATAGAACTCACCCTGCAACTTGTCCCTTTTTCAACCTTTGCACGGCTTCATTGAACTTGTTCACTCCAACCACGACAGGCTCCAGGTGGATCTTTCCTGCAACCAACATTAAATATCCATTACTCCATCTGTCACCAGCATCAGTGTCTTACCTCGTTTCGCAAAGTCCAGTGTGGCAGCTATATCCTTCCGGCTGCTCGACAGGGTGCCCTTGATTGACTGGTTCTTCAAGCAAAGCTGGGTAGGATCCGCATCAATGTGATATCGACCCTTGGGCGGGAGTCCGACGCTGTTTCTCACTCACTCAATTCATCCATGCTTCTCATCAACCCGAAGATTCAAGGTGTTGTTTTGACATACCACATTACCACTCCACCGATACGTGAACCAAGATAGCCCAGCGATACGGGATAAGCCTGTACAGCTAATAGCTCAAATCAGATCCAACCACGAATCAGATATCTCAGCTTCGAGTAGGCACACTTACCACTGACAAACACGCCGTGAGCACCTCCATTGGTGACTTCCAAGACCTTTTTGACCGGGTCTGCCTCGGTCATAAAATCGACAAAATACTCAGCACCAAGGCTGAGCGAAAGCGATCGACGACTTTCGCCAGTATCGACCACCACAGGCCGTATACCCATGGCGCAAGCCAGCTGTACACCCTGGATGCCTGTTCCACCGCCTCCGCCAGGAAATACGGCCCAGTCACCGGCTCCAAGTCCAGATTCTTTCAGCGAAGCATACATGGTACCTGCAGAGCACATGGCAGACCCTGCCACGTAGTCAGAAACTCCCTGGTCATTGCTTCAGCTGGAGAACATTAGATATCAGTCCTGGTCACAGATACCTCGGGAATGAGCTAGGGCCATGATGTTGTATCAGTGTCTATTCTTTCAGTTTCCTTGAGAGATTTGCTCTGCAACGAACATGGACAAACCCTTCTGGGACGGCACAATACTGCTTGTAAGTTCCTGCGAGAAATCAATCCACAGCCTCTTCACACCGGAGGACAAGTCATTGGACGTACGTACCGTCCACTGTCCCCCCCGTATAGACTGCTTGCGGGCAGTATGTCTCTCTTCCAGATTTGCACGAGTCGCACAAGCCGCATGTGCTATGGATCGGACCATATGCCGCTCGTTGGCCGACTTTGCAACTCTTGACGCTGTCGCCGATCTTGACAATTACTCCAGCACCTTCGTGGCCGGCACAAGAGAGACCCATCTCCGACATTTTTGGAAATGTCCAATCATTCATCATAAAATGCACATCGGTCAAGCACAATCCGGTTACATTGAGCTTGATGAGAACTTCCGAAGGCCCTGTCAACATCATTCCATCAGCAACTGGTCCATCAGCAGTCATGGCCGGGATGTATAGTCCAACCGATGCAAGGCACTGGAACTTTCTCAACTGCCACGAAGAAGTCCGGTCCTTCGTTTTTCTGCTCGACGTTTGTAAGTTGAGGTCTCTATGTCTTCGATGTACAGCCGTCTACGCACGACAACTCCTGCCCAACACTCCTTGGGGATCTCCATGGTCGCTTCTTCCTCGTTTGACATCCGCCCTCTACTTTTGTGGGATTCGCGTTGGGAAATCTGAATAAGCGCTTGTACCCTAGGTTACAAGTGGACGTCTTTGTTTCTCGCGTTACGAAGACACAGTACGAATTGAATAGCTGACGACTAGTTTACATGTCGTGTGTACGACTACTGTCCTTGCCTCGCACCAAGACCAGCACCATCGAGCAATCCGGTCTCCTCTTCTTTCGCCGAAATGCTGGTCTTCCTTTTCTACCCCAGCCATGCTGTCTTGGAAAAGACAATCTCCACGCGCCATGTTAGAGGCAACAAGATTACCTTCGTCTGACTCTTCCTCACGGGCACCAATAGAAGCGCCTTGAGCCAATCCACGTTTAGGTCCGTTCCGTTTTCGGCGAAAGTTGTCCACCGGACATGTGGGCACTCCGCGGCCAGCCTTCTCCCCCCGCGATATCTTCCTCCGTTGGCATCTATACCCCAGAATTCTGTGGAATGGGTTCTGTGGGGGCCTTCAGTCTGGCTATATTATACCGTCGTCATGGTCGTTATCCAAATGTCTTGGGTCTTTCACCATCTATTACAGCATCGTACCCTTCTTGCCTCACTTACAGTCTTTATTGTTTGAACGTTAAAGGGATCTGTCTCATCTCCCCTCACAGCCATGGGCGATGACAAGGTGGAATACGAGAACTGGGAGGTTCAGCCCAACGTGGTCGTCACGGAGCAATACATAGAGGGTACCGTCAAGAGCTTCTTTTTCGGTCTTTGGTGATTAGGAGAAATGGCTGACTTTCGCGTGCGTGTGATATTTCTTGCAGCCGAACCCACCTGGGCAAAATACATCCCTGGAGGCTACTCGAGGTCGAGATGCTTGAAACTGTCGGGTATGCCCATGGTTTCGTGCATCCTTGGCCTCGCCGGGACGTGTCTCCTGTTCTTTGGCTACGACGCCGCTGTCATGAGCCTGGTCAACATCAACCCGGACTATCTCCAACACATGGACTCTGCTGGAGGCACGGACCGTGATGCCGCGCGCGTTGGAGGCATCGTGAGCTTCTGGTTCCTGGGTTTCCTCATAGGTATATATTTCCACCAACCATGCCCTTTTTTGCCTCGTTTTCCTCAGAAGTGCCGGCTGACGTGGGATGCATTTTTGCATTCAGGTGGAATTCTGGCCGGTAGCTACGCCGACAAGATTGGACGACTCAAATCCATACAGCTGGGGTGCGTCTGGGGGATAGTGGGTGCCTGTCTTTTGGCGTCCGCTCAGAACTTCTCCTGGATGGTCTGCGCGCGTATCATCAGCGGCATAGGTTGCGGCCACCTCAACACCATAGCCCCAATCTGGACCTCGGAACTCGCAGACTACAATCTACGGGGCGCATATGTCTCGGTGCAGTTTACCATGTGCGTGGGAGGGGCGACCATGTAAGCTTGACCACTGACCTACCTACCTACCTACCTTCCTGCCTACCTGCCTGCCTGCCTGCCTTGAGCGGGCACATATACAGACATGGCCATCTCTCAAGGCTGTCCACAACTAACATTGGACCAGGACATATTGGATGGAATACGCCGCGCTCAAGACCCGGTCTCTCCAGTTCGCCTGGCGGTTTCCCCAAGGCTTCCAGATGGTCTTTCTGATCTTCATCCTCCTTGCAGCCAACTTTTTGCCAGAGACACCCCGCCACCTTGCAAAGACGGGTCGTTTCGACGAGGCTCGCGAGATACTTTTCCGCTGTCGCCTCACGCCTTCCGAGCAGGCGATTGAGCAGGAACTCGCCGAGATTCGAGAAGCCATTCGCATCGAGGCGACGTCCTCGGCTCACGGCTTTCTCTCCATGATATGGAAAAAGGATGCGCTGCATACCCGCCGTCGTGTCGCGCTGGCCATGGGTATCCAGGCGATGGAGAAGCTCTGTGGTCCCGATGCCATTGCGGCGTATGGACCCATCATCTTCGGCCTCAGTGGATGTGAGTTCTCCTCCACTGATCCTTGTCTCGTTTGTCAGCTTTTGATGGGGTAGAGAAGGAGAAGGAGAAGAAGTTTGAGCTGATTCACCGTGGTGTCGCTCTAGTTACTGGCAACTTGCCTGCCATGCTGGCCGGCTTCAACTTCATCTCCTACACATTCAGCGTCCCGATCGGCATGTACTTTGTCGAGCGGGCCGGGAGACGAAAGCTGATGCTGATCGGGCTGGTTGTCATGGGCTCTTCACTGCTCATTGCCGGCCCTCTCGCGAGAGAGGCCATCAACACCCCCGATACCGAGTTAACCAAGAAAAGAGCCTACGGCGCCGCCGTGGTGGCGTTTGTCTTCTTGTATACCTGCGGATTCGGCAGCACCTGGATCACATGCTGGTTGGTCTCTCCCTCACTCCAGTTCCTCATTGCGTTCCTGTTATTGTCTATCACAGACTTTGGTGTAACTCGTTCGGCCAACTGCTAACACACCTCTCGTACAGCTGGGTCTATCCCACCGAGATCTTTCCCCTGGCCACACGCGCAAAGGGTGTCTCGCTGTCCATGGTGTCGTTCGCCATCTGGGGCGCCGTCATCAACGAAGTCATCCCGTACGTCATCAGCGCCGTCGGGTGGTGGGTCTTCATCATGTTCGCGATCATGAATTTCCTCCAAATCATCCCCGTGTGGTTCTTCTACGTCGAAACGGCCAATCGTCACCTGGAAGATCTGGACATTCTCCTGGCCAGCGACAGTCCCCTGGCGTACAAGATGGAACGCGAGTTTGCCGAGAAGAAACGCGCCCTTGGCTTCCATGCGGAGAATGCGCAAGGCGTGGTTGGTGGGCACGCGTCGCCGGAGATGATGGGCTAGGTGATATATGAGATGTCTCAATGTTTGCGAGTTCCAAGAGCAAAGAAATACTTCTCGATGGTAGGCGCGGGCGGGCCCGAGGGTCCTGATCAAACCGATATCGATGTAAAGATCTTTAGTGACATGCCGGGCTAACGCACTGAACACCAGGTAATCGACGGGGCTTTTATAGATGGATTTTATTCTTCACAGCTTTCGGCAGGGGCCAAACGAGCTTGCTCCGATCTTCCTCAAGACCGTTTGTTACCAAAAGTCACAGGCCAATAGCTCCAACAGTAGTGAACCCCATCGCTAAACTCAGGTGTCACACCCACATGAGAAGATCCCTAGACATATAATAAACAGATAAGTCTCCAAACATGGCAATTCAGCTGTTTGGCAGTCGAATAGTATTCGTCATGATCAATCTTAGTCAATGTTTACAGATAGCGCTTTGGAGACGTATTATCATAATGCATGAATGCTCTTTTTTTTTACCTTTTTCAAGTTGTGTATCTAATTCCCGAGTCATCAAGAGTACCCTCGGCTTCATGACAGATACTTTTCCAGCGAATTCACCGTGTCCGTGACCGTGTCGGCCAAATCCCTCCACGTCACGCCCAGCGTCTTCGTGACCTTGCTGCTGTCGACCTTGTACAGCCCTCCCTCGGGATACCCGCCGCCGGGACTGTCCTCCGCGGGAAGCCGGTCGCGCAGTCGCTCGTGTCTCCTGCGGATGATCTCCACGATCTCCCTGTTGGAGAAGTAGCCGGCGGCGACGAGGAAGCGCTGGTTCGCGGCGCCGGGCTTCTCCAGGGCCAGGACGTGGCAGAGCGCGAGGTCCCGCACGTCGACCCACGTGAAGGTGGCGTTGTCGGGGATCTTGGCTTTGTACTTCCCCTGGATCAGGTCCCCGATGACCTGGTTGCTGGTGTTGAGCCGGTCCAGGCTGTCGAGGTGGCTTATCACGGGGCCCAACACCATCGGCGGACAGAGGGTGGTCAGGGAGAAAGCAGGCGGTCCTCGCGACTGTTGTTGTTGCTGTAGAAACTCCCACGCTGCCCTCTCGGCAAACGTCTTGCTCGCCCGGTAGCCGTTGGCGACGCTTTCCGACGCCTGTTCCAGAGTGACGGGGTTCCAGTCCTGTTCGGTGTACGTGTGCTCAGGCCAGGATCCCTTGAAAGGGTTCACGATCGAGGCGAACGACGAGGTAATGACGACTTGTTTGACCGTGGGGGCATGTTTGACGATCGACTTCAAAAGACCCGTCGTGCCTTTGATGGCGGGATCGAGGAGATCTCGTTGCACGTCCGTGACGTTGAAATGGAACGGGCTGGCCGTGTGGATGACGGCTTCGAAGGGCGGAGTGGAAGAAGTGAGGGCGGCGTCGAAGGCGTTTTCTTGGGCAATGTCTTCCACAATGGCAAAATCCAGTCGATCTGTCCCGACGGTTGGGTATGCCGCTCTGATCTGGTCGGCTTTGGCGGGAGAGCGCACCGTCGTCACCACGCTGTAGCCTCGCTGGATCAGATGGTCCAGTACATGCGCCGCGATGAAACCAGAGCCACCCGTTAGGAGCACACGTGTCATGATGGTCTGAGTTGTATTAATCCTGTCGTTCTAGTTCTCCCTGTTCGTTGCAAAACTGCGATTCAAAACAATGCGTGGCTTTACGAATGAGCTTTGATATCTGTCGCACAGGTTCTCTTATATTCCGAGCTACAACATCGACCAGCTTCGGCCTATACCTTGTGCTTGTCCCCCCCACAGAGCCTGGCTGTTAGGGCGTGTACACACCATGGTGCCGAAGTTCTTAAAGTGCCAGAGTGCTCATGTTCCCCGAGCTTCGGCGAACGTTTCCCGGCGAAATCGATTGACTTTTATCAGCAATGGCGTTGCCCGCATGATGGACGTCTGGAGGAAATGGGCGACCGGGTAATACCTACAGCGAAGAAAGAGGCCGCCAAAGTAATAGGTAAACCCCTTCGTATTCTTCTAGCTAGGTCTATCGCAGACTAGGAGTCCACAACTCATGCGAGAGAGACTCCTGGAACTTGGGCCGGTGGAAGAAGGGAAAGTTTAAAACGAAGGCATGAATCAATATTCCCCATTGTTATGTTTCGGACATCCTTTGCCGGTTATGACACTGACTGTCCAACTTGGTGCATTTTTGTCTCCGTAGGTCACACACACGGTTAACGATTCCTGTTTGTTTTTGAGGCATGATTTCGCATTTCAGAGTGGTGGAAGCATTTTCATCTCGGTAAAGTTTTTGAATACTGCGTGGATAGATTCGATAGAATCCACAGTACCATGCCAACCAAACTTGCGGGCTTTGTCCATGCTAGAAAGCCACTATTAGTATTGCCCCCCTTGGGTTTCCATCCGAGGAACACTTCTCACCTCGTTTGCCAGGACCACGTCAGCTCGAGCGCAAACTGTAGAAAAGCAAAAGTCTTGTCGGGATCTTGTAAAGGCTCGGTATTGAGTCCGTATTCTTGCTTCAGCTCTGCCCAGGCTTGTCGAGTTGCTGGCTCCTTAGCCCACTCGATGAAGCTAAAAGTCGACCGGAGCTTGCCTTTCGGGCCGTATCTAAAACATACAACATCAGCAAGCGATTCTTCTATCTGACAAGAACACCAGGGGCAGCTCCAACGTACCCTCTCGGGACAAATGGCAGCTCTACCTCGTGGTAGCTGGCGTTCTCCTGAGGTGGAAGCCACTCTAAACCAAACCAGGATGCCAGAATTGGCCACAACTTTGAGAACGTGAACTCGGAGCCATCGGTGATGTTGAAAGACTCCCCTGCCGTGCCTTCGTTCAAGACTAACCACTCGTAAAATGTACCCAGAATGACACCAGAGGATATGGGATGATTATTGTCCCAAGACACAAAATCCCCGGGATACCTCAGGGGCTGGTTCAGCTTTCGTTGAACGGCGGCATAGACCGCCAGCGGATAGAAGATGGTCATGTCTGTACCGGCGACGGCGGCCAGAATCCACTGCGGCATTGTAACATTGTAGCTGACGCCCGGGTGAGTTTTGGCATACTTGACCAACAAATCTTCTTGGGTGTAGTAGAAGTTGGGTTCTAACTCAACCCGGGGAGCTCCTTCGGTCAGAGGGACGTCGACGTGGCCTTGGTGAACGCCGTAGTTCTTTCCTCCAGTTTGAAGCAAGATTCGCCGGGGCTGAACATCTGCTTGGTCCAAGGCAGAAAGAAAGTTCCCAAAGAGCCGCCCTGCATGGGTAGAACTGTCACAACGAGCCCCTCTGCGTGTGCACTGGGTAGAAAGTCTCTCACCATTCGTTTCAGCCAAGTGATTTGCATCCCCAAACACCTTCGAGTCGGAGCCTTGTCTTGCAACCTGGACATAGCCGAAGTAGAAGATGTAATCACTGAGTAAGAATTCGCAACGTCAATTCCATCCCCCGTTGACAACAAACAGGAAACTGGGAGAGTGTGGGGGTGGCCTTACGCCTGGACTTTGTGTTCCCGCAAGGCACTGGCAATTCGACCAGGTTCCCAGAGTAAATCCACCGCTACGTGCTCGACGTTCTTCGCCTCTGTAGCCGGCGGTCTCCTGGACAGGGCATATATCTTCTCCCACCGGTCCGGACTGGAGCTGAGCACATCAACCACGGGTTGGCCAGATTGACCGCTGGCGCCGACAACGATAACTCGAAGATTTCTCTGAGAAGGATCGATGACAGGCAATCCGCGAAAAATGCCTTCTGAGCGGACCTGGTACGTCTTGCTTGTCGAGTGAGCCATGGTTTTTGATAGTTGTCGAACAGGACATCACCTCGCCATTGTGCATACCTTTGAAATATACTGATGCTCTGAGGAACCAGAACCGAGACTGGAAAACGGTCCGCCAGATGGTCATTAGTCAATCCTGAGTTTGACGGTGGCGTTACGTCTTGCTGAGAATAATCTTTTGCTTATTCGGCGAATTTGACAGACTCTCTTCCTATTCAGGAGATGCTCCCGACTGGTGCTCAAGACTTGATATTCTGAGAATAAAGTGATTGCTAATCTCTACTTGCTTTCATGGATGCAATCACAGTTCAAAGCATCAAGACTAGACATCAGACATGGCATTGTTGAGCTCTTAGGTGTAGCACGCAACCGATGTAAGTAATGCTAATGGCTCGTTCCTGGTTAGGATTTAATTCGATGCTTTCTTCTCGAAGCCTCATCATCCTTCGTAGATCGTCCTCCGCCTTGGTAATTGTTATCATATGTGACCTCATGGTTTGAAATCCTGAGGGTCTTTTGGTCAATCATTGTGACTATCTCTTCAGGCTTCGCCAATGTACTTTGGCCAATTTGGACTTGGATTACGAGCAATCCATCCACCGTCGACGATAAACGCTGTGTTCCAAGTCAGCGATCCACCAGATTGACCAGACACAGTTGGGATGGGAGATCTCACGATGTCCAGTAATGTAAGATGCTTCGTCTGAAGCCAGGAAAAGAACCAGCTGAGCCACCTCGTTCGGATGCCCTCCACGGTTCATGGGGATGCTCTCAAACAACTCTTCTCTTAATTGTTCGTTCTTTAGGGTCCCTTCCGTCATTGGAGTTTCCATAAACCCGGGACAGACTGTGACCGCACGGATCCCGTCCCTCGCATGGTCCATGGCGATGGTCCGCGTCAGGTTAACCAGTCCGCCTTTTGCGGCATTGTAGGAAGAAAGGCCATAATCTCCACCAATGCCAGAGATACTGGCCGTGTTCACAATCACTCCTTTTCCCGCCTTTTTCATGTGCGGAATGACGGCTTTGGCAAGGTAAAACGCGCCACAGAGGTTGGTCATGATGACTTTGTTGAAGACGTCGACGTCGTGTTCGACTACGGGGACGATCGGGCTCAGCATTGCTGCGTTGTGGAAGAGGACGTCGATTTTCTCGAATCTCGCAATGCAAGCATCGACTGCGGCAGAGCAGGACTTTGGGTCTGAATGTGTTCTCAATGTTAGTGTCATCGTACGATCCATGTAAAGTGGACAAATTGTGTCAGGGACGATGAGACAAATCTTTACCAGAGACATCGCAGGGGTGGAAGTGAGCCTTTGGACCAAATCGCTGTATTGCATCTCGTTCCTTTATGGTTGATCCCGGTCAGCAGTTTGCAATGGGATAGTAGTATGGTGGCCAACAGATGTGTTTTGTGGTTTGGTTTGTGCCTGGCCAGACTCCCAGAGGAGACGTTTGATGTCTTGACGATACCATGGAAACGATTACCTTCAGATCCGTAACAAAGACAGTAGCGCCTTCATCCAAGAACTGCTGGCAGGTCTGTGCTCCCAGTCCAGAGGTACCCCCAGTGATAAATATCACTGCCTCGTGGAAACGTCCCCCCATGGTTTTGAGCGATATAGCCGACTACTCAGTGTCGTATTGTATGCGAGGAGACAGAGAGTGTGTCTATGTCTTGAATGAGGCGTAAATGGCTCGACTTCTTTGTTCCGGCACGTTTTCAAGATGGTCGACACCAGGTCTTCATCCTTTAATGTGGCCCCTTGTCCATCAGCTCCGATGAGGGTCGAGTCTCAGACTCGTCCTGAAGCCGAGAGCCTGGAAACGGGAAGATGACCCTGATGGTCAGACCCTGTCTAGGCTCACACACATGGTTTGGAAGCTTCGGCGAAACAGCCATCGTTGAGTAGGCCATCTACATGTCCCGGTTGCACCCTCATGTTCCCCGCGATCTCTCAACAGTCAATAACTCTAGCTAACCAGTGGGAGATTGGGATTTCCTCTCCACAAACGCCAATTGCGATTTCGGCACGCTTGGCCCAAAGTTCGCCGAAAAAATGGACCAAGACCCAAGATCATATCTACCATCTTACAACTATCACCCGGTAGGTAATAAGACGTGAAATTTTATGGTCCAATAGGTCTTCACGAAGTTGCTTGATAGTTGGGATCGGAAGCGCCTGCAACATAAAGGTCCATCACTATACCAATCTCTGCTCCAACAACTTTATCTGTTTCAATAATGGCGCCCCTTTTAATGACAGGGTAAGAAAACCATTCTTCCACAAGACAGGTGCTGCTCTACTAACCACAACATAAGGGTCGGCCTGGTCACGGGAGCAGCGTCTGGAATCGGGCGAGCATGTGCCAAAATCCTGGTCGAGGAAGGATGCACGAGGCTCGTGCTGTCGGACTTGCCGGGAGGTGGCCTGCAGGAGGTCTCGGACGAGCTCAAGAGCATCGAATCTTCGGTGGAGACAGTTTTATTCGTCGGTGACATGAGCAAAGAGGTCGACGTCGACCAGATGGTCGAGGCGGGCGTGGCGAGATTTGGCGCGATTCACTATTGCATCAACAGTGCCGGCGTGACGAGTCGGCCCAGACTACGGACGCACGAACTGGAGACGGAGGCATTCGATCGTGTCGTCAACATCAACCTACGAGGCTTGTGGCTTTGCGAACGGGCGCAGATCCGCCAGTTCCTGAAGCAAGAGCCAACGCTTCAAACTCGCCATCATGCCGCCGGAATAGCGACGCAGCGAGGGGCCATTGTCAACATCAGCAGTATTTTCGGGATCACCGCGCACGCAACGGCCGGGGCTTATCCCGCCTCGAAATCCGGAGTGCTGGGACTGACGAGGACGGATGCGGTGGCATACGCGGCCGACGGGATCAGAGTCAACGCCATCTGTCCGGGCTTTATCAACACCCCGTTGGTGGAAAAGGCAAAAGAAGCGGGCGCAGACTACAACAAGCTCGTCAACCTGATCCCGTTCAGACGAATGGGTACTGCTGAAGAGGTGGCTGAAGCCGCAGTGTGGCTGGCAAGTGAGCGAGCAAGTTATGTGAGCGGCGTCGAGTTGCCTGTGGATGGTGCTTGGGTCAGAGCGTGCAATACATGATTTTGAAGAGCCAAGTCAGTGTCAAGGGGGTCTCGAGCCAACGAATCGCTTGATCCTACATAGACTCGTAACCGGGGAACATTTTCGCCGAAATGTTGGTTCAGTCATTTCGGCGAAATGTGACACAGGCAGAGAGGGTCGCGATTGTGGATGCATTTTGATCCACCACCTTAGGCCGAGGCAAGCTGGTCCTTTAGCTAAGAGCGTTGTCGTGTTCCTTGGAGGTAAAGCAAGGGACGAGCGGGATGAGGTGCTCTAGCTACCCTCGATAGAATGACCCATGGATAGACAAAACCACTACAAAGGTGGAATTTATTTCGAATCTGGATATGAAACAGAAGTACTCAGAGAGGTTTGCGACTGACTGAATTAATCCTCGCAATCGTTTCCATCTCCAGAGACGCCTACGTATGCAGTGGCCAAGTACCAAGTAGCAGTTGTTCTAATTTTAAGTAGGTACCGAGTATGATGCGCCCTAAAACCTCCTCCCAACCCGCCTAAGATCTGCTCTGTCCCCAGATTTCCATCTCTCTGCGGCCCCCATCAAATGGGAAGTGAGTGTGGGGTTCCCAGACATTAATTAGTAAAAAAGTATGTACTGGCAGAGTGGCCAACACCCACGGGTCACCCCGGCTTTTTATCTCGCTCCAACAAGTGTCACCAGGAATCTCACCTTGGATATTTTGATAAGTTTACGAGCGGCCTGGGAGAAGGAGAACCATCCGCCCCCTGGCTCTGAAATACCATCTACTTCAAACAATGGAGCAAAGCTCGAGTCGAGCGTACCGCCGGCGAAAGCGCAAGTTGGCGTGCAAATACTGCAATTCTCGCCACATACGATGCAAGATGCCAGAGACAACAGAGACATCCGACCGGGCAGGACATGCCCGTCAATATCAGTGTCAGGCTTGTTTGGATGCCAATAAAGAGTGCGATCTCGAAACGCTTGCAATTACAATGTATCCAGAGTTGTTCCCTCCGTCTCAGCCGACACCTCAGCGCGAAAGAGTCCGAGCCCGTCTGCCGACCACACAGCCATCAGAGCCCTACCATCATCAGCAGCGCACGCAGAACGGCGCTGCTCTCAATTTATCCGCGGGTGGCCAAGACGTGTTATATTCGCCTCGCTCCAAGAGCACCCCACCGTGCCCGCCGCAGGAAGGGTCGGAGATGATCCTCGTACGATTGATGGATACGCAGCAGGACAAGGATGAACTTGACCAGCCGACCAAAACTACCGACCGAGTCCTGTATTTCGGAGACCAATCGATCTGGTCTGATAGCCTCCGACGAGCTCGGAGCAGCAAATCCAAATCTCGATATCCCGCAAGCCCACAGCCTCTGAGCGCCCGATCATTGGTGGACGGTAACAACATCCATTACGCTGTGCCGCCCACGGTCAGGGACCAGCCGCAAGATATCCCACAGGACGATCTCGACGTGCAGCAGGAGGAAATCAAGCTACTGCAGAAGAAAGGGGCCTTTTCTCTGCCACCTCCCGACATCCAACGGAAACTCCTCGACGCGTTTTTCACCTGGTTGTATCCCTTACAGCCCATCCTCGACAAGGAACAGTTTCTCGACGACTTTGACAGGGGCCAAGCGCCCATCATCCTCGTCCAAGCGTTACTGTTCGCCGGCACCACGTGCTGCGACGAGAGCATCATCGTACAATTCTGGCCGAGTCGCCGCGCCGCCCAATCAACCCTGTACAAGCGGGTCAGGGCGCTGTACGACGCGGACCACGAACAGAACCGCGTCACCATCGTCCAGGCCCTCTTCCTCATGTGTTTCTGGTGGGGGAGTCCCATGGACAAAAAGGACTTTAGCCACTGGTTGGCGGCGTCTATCCATCTGGCCCAAGTGACGGGCATGCATCGGTCGTATGATCATACACATATCATCAGAGAGCGACAAAATATTGACTGACTGGCATTTTCTACACTCCAGAACCAAGGACTCTCATCTCTCCATAAAGGACAGGAGGCTCTGGAAACGCATTTGGTGGACTTTATACGTAAGTCATACCTTCGATCGTGGAAACCTTGTCTCCACACACACACGCGCGCACACAGAGATGGTTCACTAAGTCATTTACTTATGTTAGGTACGAGAGCATTTCGATGCTGCGTCGGTAGGCCGGCCCATGATCATCCACGACGACGATTGCGACGTTGAGCCCTTGTGCCTGACTGATTTTGAATGCGACGAGAACGGAATGCCACCCCTAGGCGCTATGCATTGTATTGAGATGACGAAACTGGCGACTCTAAGTATACACCCCTTTGCCCAAAAGTCTCATGCAAGAGAGAGAGAAGAGAGACTCGAAAGCTGATATGATATGCAAAGTCGGCCGAGCGATTCGAGCTGTCCGATCCGGTCAAATACCCAGAGACCCTCCTTCTCCCACTGACGCCAAAGGAGCAATCGACGACGCTCTTTCAGCTTGGGAAAAGCAGCTGCCAGAACAGTTACGATACCGCGAAGGGGAGGAGCGAAGCCCACAGGCCATGCTGTTTGCAGCGATGCTGATGCTGGGCCTGCAGTATGTCATGTCATCATCATTGTCATCTTACCTCCTTTGCAAAAGGCTTTTTGGGGAGGGATAGGAAAATGTTGCTGACGAAACACACTGATCAGTTTCTGCCGGATTGTGCTGCATCGAAAAGGGTTCTTGGACTCGAAACACAAGAACGAAACCAACTCGAGGGCCCTGGCGTCTGCTAATGCCGTGACTCGCATTGTCGAAGAATTACTCAGTGAGGGTCTCCTGCCGCGGGCACAAGTACATTTGTAAGCTGAAGCTGTCATGTCGTTGTTATTGTTGTTGTTAGTATTTGGCTTGTGACAAGAACTAACATTGATGTTCTCTCCCTCTACCGGACACAGAATCGCGGTCATTTTCGCCTCGTTTACCATCCATATCGTTTCGATGGAGCAAAGCCAGGGCGCACGCAGACGAGTCCTGCAACACAAATCCAAGCTGTGCCTATTAGGTCTCGCAGAGTTTCGTGACTATTGGCCATTTGTCGACTGGATGTATCGACTATTTAGCAGTCTGCTGCACTGGCTGGAGGTGGGAGACAGCAGCACCACTTCCTTGTCCTCCGAAGGCCACAATCAGGGACTATGGACAACCACCGCTACCCAGCTTCGTCCGGAGAACATGACCCTACAAGCCGCTGAACTGATGGACAGCACTACAGATATCACTACCACCCATGGTGGCGATAACAACACGGCCATGTCTCTCCCACTCTCCTATGAGCAAGATGCGAGTTCCATGGCCGATGCTCAGCCCCCCGATCATTCCGGCATGCTCCAGCAATTCATGTCCGGCATGTTGGCATCAGAAAACTTTCTCGACCCGTTTCTGCCACCCCTGGAAAATCTCGATTGGGATGATCCCAACATGGCAGGAAATCCCATGCTCTGGACATCCACGCCGCTACCCACGGTGGAAAGAGGGTCTCTGTCCTGAGAATGTTTCCAGGAGACTCATGACATTTTGGCGGGTTGTGTACAGCTCATACCAGGTTTGCGGCATCAATCACGATCCGATTTCCAAGGTTGATCATTGAACAGCGGCATGAACTTGGGGCTCTCCAACTTGATATCTCGTAAAACTCAATATTGACTTTTCGAAGAGAGATGTAGGAGGTCCCAACAGCAACCCGCCCCATCTCTCTCAGGACTTATATTAGATTGGAGGATGGAGCTGGTATAGTTCCTGTACAATCTTGAACACGTCCTCCGCCGACTGGCTTATAGTACGGGAGCATTGACTAAATTTGTCGGGATGCCAGCGCTTTCGTTCCCGTCTCAGCCATTGGCGTGAGTATTTGGGTGACTGTTGAAAGAATTCAGCAATGGCGTGGTGACAAGGCCGGCCTTGAACTGCTTTGTCTTTGCATTTGGTACATGAAGCAATGGGCGGGAAAGGGAATTCTTGTAGGTTCGGTTTATCTGCTAGACACGTTTGAGTGTGGCGATACCACTTCTGAAATGTCACAGAGGACTCTTTTGCCGGAGGCACGAATTGCTGGTCGATGTTGGTAGGCCGTGGTGGAGGAGCCTGTGGTGGAGGAGCCCGACCGGCGGAGTCGGCGCAAGTGCCGTAATTCGAGTAGAGCGGTGTCCTGGAGCTTGCGGAACCCCTCGAGCTAGAGGACGCCGCCGGGAATGGATGAAAATGTCGTGGTTCCTCAAACAGTCGTCGCGGCGTGGGCTTGGACCAAAGAGGCTTTCGTATTCGTTTTCTGCATTCTTTGGCGACCCAGAGAATGATCCTGATGGCGATCAAGAGAGTCCAAGGGACTATGATCACAGCGGCAACACTAATGGCCACAATTTTCAGAGCCTCCAGGACGAGGTCAAATAGATACGCCGCACCTGAGGCGTGCCAAAGCCAGGACAACACTTTGCCAGCACCCTTGGCTAGCCACGACAGAGCTGCGAGCACCAGTCGTGCAAAGGTACACCCAAACTGTTCGCATGCAGAACCGTCAGAGGGCACATCGACTCGAGGTGTCAACGCAGTGGGAGCCATTCTTTGGCAGAATCGGTATTGCTTCAAACGCTATGGCGGCAAGGCTGTTTCAGTTTAAGAGGTTCAACTAGTGATCAACCGTAAACTCAAGAGTAGACTAAGACCTCGTCTAACCTCCCCCTCTGGCCTTTCCACGGGCAGCATTCCATTGCCGCTCTAACATCGAGATTCATATGCCCGCTTATTCGTACAGCCTCAGTCCGCAGTTCAATAAATCAGCGAGGAGGTCAGCCATGGCCGGTAAGGCGAGGAGTGATCGCTGCTACCGGCTCGGCGCGAGCCGGCGGCAGACAAGGGCGGCATCACGCTACTCTCCGATCGGGTTGTTTAGAGACAGATCGTGGTCGGACACTGTGTCACTGTCCTTTGGAGTTACACAAAGATAATTTTACCTATTATCCCTTCTCCAGCCTCTAAAACGCATCTCGAATGGACTTGAAAACATTATATACCCTAATAGTCCTTGAGCGACAGAGTTGCGGTAACAAAAAGCAGCCCTGGCCTGGCAGTTGTAAGGGCTATCAACCACCAAGCCACTGCCGTGGAATATGTTCTCCTATTCTTGCCATGGGCTGTCTCGACGCCTAAATCCACGCATGGCTGGGCTGTTGCCATTTGGCAGCAAATATTCCACCATTGTGGACGTGGAAAAAGGTAATGCTTCACTGGAGACATGTCGGAATCAAGAAAGCTGATGCATCAAAGACAGGAACACCAACCAAGATTTCTTCAACTTCTCACGTGGACGCTTCGTATGTGACGAAGATTACAACATGTCAATACGGAGAGTACGCTTCGACATGAATCAGCTCGCACGAGTTGCCACTGAGGCCATCACGGCCAATAAATGCATCAATGTCGAAAAATGTCCGGATGGCATGTACAACAAGTCCTATCTGTTTACAATGGACGACGGCAGGCAAGTCATCGGGAAGGTGCCAAATCCAAATGCCGGTCTGCCTCATTTCACTACGGCAAGTGAAGTTGCGACCATGGATTTTGTATGCGCGATCAACCCCCGTTATAGCAGTCTGTTGTTTGGCTGACACTTGTGAAGGTCCGCAACATCTTAGAAACACCAGCACCTCACGTTCACACTTGGAACTCTAGAGCAGACAATCCGGTGGGTAGTGAATACATCATCATGGAAAAGATGCCAGGGGTTCAGCTCTCCCGGGTCTGGGACCACATGAAACCCACCGACAAGGTCTTGGTGGTCATTCAACTTTTCCGCTTTCAGAAAAAGTGGCTGTCGACCCGTTTTACAAACATTGGCGGCCTCTATTATGCAGGTGATGTTGACGCCGGCGCATCCAGAGCACCTCTGTTTACCGATAGCGCTGGGAAGGAGGTAAGAGACGACCGTTTCGCGATGGGGCCAACCAACGGTCGAGACTGGGTTGATGGGGCCAGATCCTCGTTGAAATGCGATCGAGGTCCTTGTAAGACGGACAATTACTGTTTGGAGTGTGCCAGTCTAATTCGTTACAGGGACTTCCATCTCGGACTACTACCAAGCCATCCTCCACCGCGAGATCATCGCTGCAAAGAGTGCGGCACGGCTTCCCAAGCAAATGGTGATGCTCTGCGCGCCGACACTGTACGAGCCAACACGCGAAAAGAAACTGGCAGTTTTGGAACGGACTGCCAGCGTTGTGAGAAACCTGATTCCTTCTGACGCATCGATGTGTGCATCACACATATGGCACAACGACCTTCACGACGAAAACATCTTTGTGGATCCGGCAAATCCCACCAAAGTCACTGGCATCATCGACTGGCAGTCGACTCTCGCCGCACCTCTATTCGAGAATACCATCGATCCTGGGTTCCTCAACTATGACGGACCAGGCATCGAAACCCTAGACAAGCCAGTGCTCCCCGAGAACTTCGACGACTTATCTGCCGCCGAAAAAGACGCCGCCCTCGAACTTTCCTACAGCCAGGCTCTCATGGTCGCTTACCGCAGGCTGATCCAGAAGAAAACGCCACTGAAACTGGCATCAGAATTCCAAGCCTCTACCGCTTACGACATTCTCAAATTTTCTCGCCGCATCTTTGAAGTCGGCGAGGCACACGTACTGGCTATTCTCACCACCCTGGAATCCGAGTGGGGCGACCTCCCTGCTGTTCGACAAGCGGGAGGGCCTAATTGCCCGCTCAACTTCTCGGAATCCGAGCTCGAGCAGATCGAGGAGGATGTAGAAGCCGCCGATGCTGGGATCCAAGCAATGGACACAATCAGAAAGCGTCTCGGACGTCTGTGGCCCGACAAAGGCGCCGTGCAGGCTCAACAATACGATGAAACAAAGAGACTGCTCAGAGAGGTGAAAGAAGAACTGCTGCACAGTCTCAAACTTGACGATGAAGACGCCCGGGTCTTTGAAGAACTGTGGCCTTTTGATGAATAGTGCTGACCCTCGCTCCCCATATCGCCCCTTCATCTCTTAGACATGACGTGGCTGGGCTTCTAGGCAAAGATCCAGATCTCGTCCTGCCTGTCCGCCAGGATTGGTTCAGCCAACCAAGCTGGCAAGTCGTGCGTGGCTTCACCCGTCTCGGTTGCACTCCAGAAGCTGTGAGGGAGCTAGCAGCAAGACTAGTAGACTGCAGCGATATTCTTCCATCACTCCGGCTCTCGAAGGAGCTCATGATTGCAACTGCTTGCTCAAGGGAAGCAGTGAGTAAAGTTCCAGGACCATCCTCCTTGGCGCTGCCCTGCACTCGGCCCGCAATGAAGGGAGGGAGGAGAGGGAGACGCCTTGTCTGCTGCTGAGAGGCCGTGTACGAATAGAATGCCGGCCAATTTGGCGCTCACCAACCCGCCTCCCCATTGGTTGGTTTAGCTAAAGATTAGTTTTTCTCCGCTCTGCCCCTGGCGTCTCAGAAATCTAACCATTTTATCTACACTACATAATACTACACATATCTCGTACAAGAGTGTAGATACTCGCGGGTAGCCTGGGCTTCTTTCTCTCTGGTATATAGGTCATATATCACCCCTGTGGCAGTGGCAGTGTCGATATGCCAGATCCTTCTTCCATCTATGTCTATTGTCTGGTCTCATCTGGTCTCTTCCGTTTTCTTCCCGTCGTGAATGAGTCTCCACGCCCCGTCGACAACTTATCACAGTCCTATAACTTCGAGTCCTTCGGCTGCTCCTTCGATTTCCTCGTAATGTTGCGGCTGGCATCCATGATCAGACTCGCGTGTGTGCTGCTCGCCACCAATTCTCCCGCTTCGTCCCAAACCTCAATGTTCAAATCGAATCGGCCGTTCCTGATCGTCTTGGCCAGGATTCGCACAAATAGCCACTCGACGCCTTGCTCTGGCAATAACTTTTTCACATCCAGATTCAAGCTGAGCGTCGGGTACCAGAATTTGGCACTCGGCTCGCCTGATTTCAGGAGGGCTTTGAGCTCGGCTTGGCTGTGTTGGCCGATTGCGGCCTCCTCGACGACAGGATTCACGTATGACTCGACAATCTGTGGAAACATGTCGACCACAAACCCCAGAGCGTCGTTGGTCCAGCGACCTGTGATGTTTTTACTGGGATTTAGAGAAGGCGTCTTGGGCGCGAACCGCACCCACTGGTCCACGATGGCCCGAGGTTGACCGGACTGGCCTGGTTGTCGCCGGCGATGGGGCTGGACCAGGTAGATCTGAATGTTCTGCCCGGCACGGCGGAAGGCAGGAAACGGGTCGTTTGCGCGGAGCGTATAGTTTTCATCCCGGCCTTTGGTGCCCAAGAGCGCGAGGTTCGCAGGGAGAGCGGGCGGCCAGAGCTGATACTGCGTGTCGAAGCTCAGGCCTTGTTCGGTCGTAATATTGCTCATGGTTATGTACCCCTGCACCTCATCCTGCCATTGACCGTTGTGTTCCTGCTTTTGCGCCAGGACAATGTGTAAGTTGCTGATGCGCGAGCCCAGCTT